TCTTCCGGGGGTGGGGGGCAGTTCTGAGCCCAGCCCTTCGTGTCAAAGGGGGTGTCTCCAGGGGCTGAGGCCGCAGGCAGAATGGTCCTGGGTCCTTCCGATGCCCCGGACCCCAGCCCAGCCGCACGGGGCGCCCAGAAATCCTCGGAGGGCGCGGGGAGGACACCCAGGGGAGGACCGGCCCCCTCTCGCCTCCTGTCCCCGAGAATCAGCATCCACAACAGGGAAACGGAGGAGCCCCCTGCAGTCTGGCCCGTCACCTCCCTCCCGGCGGCCGGCCAGCCGCACGCAGCATCAGTCTGGTCATCTCCCTCTGGTCCCCACAAGCTGCGATAAAAACGTCAAACCATTAGATCGCCGTGGCCCACAGCGCCCGCCGCCTGACGAAGTGGCGGGCAGGATGCGGCCCGTGAATTGTCCTGACAAAGGCGAGGGGCTTCGTGAAGACCCCCGGACCCTCACTTGCCCAGTCAAATTTGCTAAACAGCCCATGTCCCCCCCGGGGGTCCAGTGAGCCAGGCCGGCCTCGGGGACTGGTCGCAGGAGGAGCAAGAGCCCGGAGTGGGCTGGTCCCTGCGGGTCACCCCCCCCAAACCCTCGATGCAGGAGCTGCCCAGAGTCCCCGTTAGGACCCCCGTGCGGCCCTGTGCTTGGAGGGGGCGGGGCTGGCCAGCCTGCGGTACCGGACGGTCCGCTCTCCCCGCACCCGCCCTGCGTGGGCGGGGCCTGGGGCTGAGTGCCGCCGCCCCGCCCCTCCCGCCCCTCCCGCCCCTCCCCGGAGCCGCGCGCCGCGTCGCCGTCTCGTCCTTTTTTTTAAGGGTGGAGACGTGTTGCAAATTGATTTCCCTGTTGGAAATGGGACAATTAAGCAGGTTGTTTCCATCTTCATCATCGTCACGATAAAATGAGAGGACGGCCGGGCGTGAGGAGCCCTCCGTGTCCAACGTGGGGAGCATTAATCGAATACAGACGGCCTTTCGCGGAGCCGCCGGGCCATATTTCAGGGATATGGGATAATGATGCCAGTAAATCACTTTTACAAGATATAAAATTACTGGCTCCTCTAGAAAGATCATTAAGGAAAACAATTGCTCACAGCAACTGAAAATAGAGTTTTAATTATTTAATGCAGAAGTTAAACTATTAGAGACCAGTGTTGGATGAGGGAACTTAATGGAAATTTATATACAAGGGGCTGTGAACATTTTAGTTTATTAACCCACCTAATTTCTGAATCCAAATCAATCTGAAGCCTGTTTTAGCTGTGACTGTGAATTAAGTCAGGACACGAGGGAGGCCGGGGCGCCGCGGCCCAGGTGGACAGGCGGCGGGGGTGGCCCCCCAGGTGAGCAGGGACATCGGCGGGGTTGCCAGGCAGGGGGCACGCCTCCTGCACAGCCCGTGCCGTCCCGGCGGAGGCGGCCGGGGGCTGGCAAAGGGCAGGGTGTGTGGCGGCTGCGTCAGCAGGAGGGACCTCGGTCTGGGCCCGGAGACACAGGGCGCAAGCAGCACCGGGGCCTGAGGGCGGGACACCAGGTGCGCCGGGGCCCCGCCCACTCACCCCCGCCCCCCCCGGCGCACCGCCTCCTGTGCCCTGCGCACTGGGACGGGTTTGTAGGGACAAGGCCCCGTGTGCGCGGGCCGCCTGCTGGGGCGGAGGGACCCTCTCCAGGAAGGTTCTGGCTTCCGAGTCCCGAAACGGGGAATTTCCAGCGCGGTAAGTGGAGACACCGGGGCTCGTCCAGACGCCCACGGAGCTTGCGCGTCGGAACGCAGGCCGAGCAGGGAGACCCGTCGAACGCCGACCGTTGCCGTCGGCCGAGAGGGCTTCATTTTCCAAACTTTCTTTTTTCTTAGAGATATTTCTTCATTGTTAGAGAGAGGGGAAGGGGAGAAGCAGCACCGCGTGGTTGCTGCCCACGCGTGCCGACCGGAGACAGGCCCCCCACCCGGCCTGCGCCCTGACCCGGAAGGAACCGGCGGCCTGCCCGTGCGCAGGCCGGCGCCGGGTCCAGTGAGCCGCACCGGCCAGGGTCATTTTCCAAATTCTCTACAAACAAAACAATTGTTAAAAACACTCTTTATTTTTCAAATACGGAAATCCCTGTTTTCAAGACAATTAAGAAAACAAGTCGAACTTTTAAAAAGGTGATTGGCATGCAAGACCTCGCGGGCTGGGCGGGACTCTCGTGGGCAGGGCGCCTCCTGGGCCTGGGCCTGAGGGTCCCAGCGCGGGGCAGTCCCAGGTCAGAGAGGATGAAGCTCAAGCTCACGGAGCTCAGTGTGGGCCAGAGGGACAGCCCCCCCCCCCCCCACACTGGCCTCCGTCCTTCCCGGGACGAGTCCGACGCGCAGCCGGCGTCACCCCGCCTCCGAGGGCCGCCCGCTGCGAACCACGGCCGTCCCTGTTACGACCAATAAATCCGAAGTGATCTTTCTTCTCCTTACAGTTTTTAGGGTTACATAAATTTCACCCACGTAATTTTTCCACGCTTGGATCTATTACAGAAAGCCACTTCTGTTGTAGAAGTTAATTGATAATGTGATTTGTTATGTTGCCGGGACATAATTCAGAAAGTTATTTTAGCGCCGCTGAGACATGGAATCGCACTCACGCGAGCAGGCGCGGGGGCGCGAGCGGGCAGCGCTGGATGAAATATCTCCCGAAGCTTTTACCCCGGGGGTCTGGGCGCCTGCCAGCACCGCGCCCCCGGGAAGCCTGTATTTCCAGCGCCGCGCCGCTCCGCTCTAAATTTATTCCTGGTCATTAGTTAACTTAGAAAAAAATGGGAAAACTGTGTGTTTGGAAAAAGGAAAAAAATCCAGCAAAAACGGGGGAGTCTCCACCTTTCAGTGTTATCCAAGACGAGCTTTAAAGCTTTCCATCGAGTTGCCCACAGACTCCCAGGGACCTGCAGGCAGGGCAGGGAGCCCTCCGCTCGGCCTCCCCAAGGCGGCCTTGCCCCCGCCCTCGGCCCTGACGACGAGGGCCTGCCTCTGCCCACGGCGTCTGCAGGCTGGCCTTCCGCGCGGTAGCCGTGGGCCGCGCGGCTCGAGACACTGCGTCTCCGCCGGGCCCGGCGCCCTCTCGTCCGGACCGCCGGCGAGGGCGGGGGGAGGGGGGTGTGACTCGCGCTCGGGTTGTCTCTGGGTTCTGCTGTGACCGATTGAAGCTGCTGCAGGTGCTCATGCAGGTGATTGTGTGAACACAGGTTTGCGCTCCCCGGGTCCACGCCCAGCGTGGGCCGGTTGCCCGGGTTGCATGCCCACGGCGGCCTCCCGGGGGCCTCGGCGCCTGCCTCACCCCCGGCAGCACGCCCAGGGCCGTTTCTCTGCCGTTTCTGTGCGTGCACACCAGCGGTATCCGGCCCGCGGTCTGAGCAGGTCCGGCGGCGCTCCTGCCGCTGGCCCCGCCCCCGACTGTGGAAGGTCTGGGTCCTGGTGCCTCTGCACTGGAGCGCGGGCGGCTGTGGTGCTGGGACCCGGCCTCAGCACCGGCGTCGGCGTCGGGCCGTGAGGGTGTGTGTGCCAGGCGGGCGTGGGGGTCCCTGACCCTCCCGCCACCTCCCATCCACTCAGCTCCCGGCCCCCCAGCCCATAGACACGAGGCGACCAGGGGTCCCTTGGCTTGGTGCCATCTGGCCCTCCGTGGCTGCCGGGTGCTCGGGGGCCCGAGATGTCTCCAGGGAGGCAGGCAGGGACAGAGCTTTGCCCGGGGACGTGGCCTGTGCCCAGAAGCCAGCGGACAGCGCTGGGCAGGGCCCAGCACCTCCTCCAAGGGCTCAGCATCCAGTCACTGGCGGCGACCCCGCCGCACAGGACGGGGCAGCGGGCAGCGGACAGCGGGCGGGACAGACAGCCTCACCCGAGTCCCCAGTGCCGTCGACGCTGCGTGTGCGTCACTTCCGTCCCTCATTCGGGGACACGAGGCCCCAGCCCCCCTTCCACTTGCTGGCTCTCCCCACATGGTCCGGCCTACACCCCCAGCTCCTCCCCTGCACTGACCCTTTCGGGACCCGTGGGACCCGCCACAGGGCTGCGGACGCAGGGTGGCAAGCCCAGAGCCGGCCATGCAGCCCGGAGACGTTTGCAAAGAGCGGGCACCCCACCGAGCCCCTGCCGGGCCCCATGGACAGCGGGTCTGCAGAGCGGGACCCCTGTGCCCAGGTCGAGGGCCAGCAAGGGGGGTGGAGGGTGGACATCGGCCTGGCCTGCCTCTGAGTCAGCGTTCCACCTGCCGCCTCCTCCCAGCGCTGGGGAAGGCGAGTGGGTGGAGCCACAGAGCCGGGTGCCCACGTCACCACCTGCAGCGTGCGCCGCGCCCCCCCGCCGCCCGCAACCGCCGGGGCTCTGCCACCCTGGGCTTCTCGTCTCCGGTCCCAGCGGGAGACACAGCCCCACCTGGACACCCCACCAGCCCCTCAGGGACCAGCACTACAGCCAGCCTCCCGTGACCGGTGGAAGCAGCAGGGCTTATGTGTCGTGGCTGGCCTGTCCCCTCCTTGGCCCACGTGGGAGCCCCGCCCCCACCTCCCCGCCCAGCGGGAGGCCCTGGGGGAGGCCGGACTCATCCCTCACAGTTGGCCCTGCCCCTGAGCCGGGAGGTAAGTGGAGGTGCCAGTGCCCGTGTTGGTGTCTCGATGTCGTGGCCCCGGAGGCTGTGCCCAGGCCCCACCCCCCAGTGCCTTGGCCCCAGAAACCACGCGGAGGTCAGAGGTCGGGACACATCATTTACTGAAGTGCTCACACAAGATGCAAAGGAGCCCAGCGGGGCTTCCTGTCTGGGACCCGGCTCGCCCCCCTCCAGGGGCTCGGGGGACGTGGAGACCACCCCTCCGCCCGCCCCGGGGAAAGGCACACCCCACAGCGCAGGCAGCAGGGATGTGCCCCTGGTGCGGCCCTCACGCCACCCGCCCGCCAGGCCCGTTCCCTGAGGGTCCCGCGTGCAGGGGGGCCGCAGAGCAGGCAGCCCCCCCAGGAGGGTGCGGGGTGGTGGGGGGAGGCCCCTGGAGAAGGGTGCCCCAGGGCGCACGGCGGGCGGGTGGGGAGGGTCACACGATGGCCTGGTGCGGCAGCCCGTACAGCACCAGGTTGAGGCTGACGGAGAGCCAGTCGGAGCTGCGCGGTGCAGGCCGGGACAGCCTCCTGTCCTTGGGGGTCTGCAGAGCCTCATCTGAGGGAGGGGATGGCAGGCTCACCGGGGGCTGCACGTCCGGCCCCCCCCCCCCACCACGGCCCGCCTGCCTGGGCGGACGGGAGGCGGGTGCCCCTAGCTCTGCCTCCGAAGTCAGCCCCCGCGTGGAGGCCGCTGTGGGTCCCTCACAGATGGGGACACGGAGGCCGGACACCTCTGTGAGCTCAGGGCCTCCCGCTGCCGCCCCAATCCCGTGGGTCCCTTCCTCTGTGACGGCGTCCACGCCGCACCCCAGTGGGGCTCCGGCGCCCAGGGCCCTTCTCCGCCCACAGAACCGCCACCTGCTGGCAGCTCTTCCCCAGCCAAGCCCGAAGCTTCTGCGTCCTCAAGTCCGTGGTTTGGTCCCCGGGGCCCTGGGACCCGACGCACCGCCCTGTGCCGCCAGTTCGGTCGCCACTCGTTCACGTGCCCAGTCACCGTTCCCTCGCTCCCTCGCTCCCTCGCTCATTAGTTCACCCACTCACCCACTCACTCACTCACCCACTCAACTCACTCATTCCCATGTACATTCACCCACTCACCCACTCACTCACTCAACTCACTCATTCCCATGTACATTCACCCACTCACCCACTCACTCACTCAACTCACTCATTCCCATGTACATTCACCCACTCACCCACTCACTCACTCAACTCACTCATTTGTACATTAACCCACCCACCCACCCACTCACCCCCCACCCACTCCTCCTGCACAGGGGCGTGGACAGTCCCTACCTACCGTCGCCCACCACTTCCTCAGCTTCCATCGTCTGAAGGAGGCGAACCGCTTTCCCAGCTGGCTTACCGACAGTCAGCAGATCTGGGGGGAGGGGGGACCCGCCTCAGATGAGCACGGACCCCCCCCAACCGTGGGCTTCAGGGGGGCCCCAGGGCACCCCACAGGCCGGGGCCGCTCACTCTCCCACAGGACGCCGGCCCGCAGCGCGTTGTCCTGCAGGGTCGTCCACCACTGGTTCGCCAGGACGCTCCGGACCCCCGCCAGGCTCAGCAGGACGGCGGCCTCCACGGGCTCCTCCAGGGACATCTCCAGGGCGCTGCGGGGGTGGGGCCCGTGGGACACAGCCTGCTGCTCGCTCGGCCCAGGTGGCGCGGGGGCTGGGGCGGGCGGCTGGACTGAGAGCCCCGGAGACGTCCCCTGGGGGGCAGGCGCTGCCCCAGCACGGGCCCTTCAGGGCACCTGCCCTGCCATGAGGGGGGTCCCTGCTCGGCCGCCAGAGCCACCTACCCGGGCCCTGCGGGTGCGTACCCCGTGCCCACCCCGCTGCTGGCCCGACTCCTGGCCAGTCCTCGGGGCCCCAAGGCTGCGGGGTGGGCTGGGGGCAGGTCGTGGCGGCCTGGCCCCTCCCAGGGCCCTGCCACCACACCGCCCAGGGGCCCCACCCATCAATCCTACGCCCCGACCCCCGTCCACCCTGCACAGGCCGCCGTGCGGGGGGGTGCCAGGCACCTCTTGCACTCCGAAGCCTCCATGGTCCGCCGCAGGCTCTCGTGGGTCCGGCTGAGGTCCAGCAGGACCATCAGCTGGCAGTCTGGCGGGGGGGGGCGGGGGGGGCTGCCGTCACGGGGCACAGAGGGCCAGAGACGCAGCCCAGTCTGCCCGCGGCTCGAGCCTCAACCACGGGCCCTCTCCCGGCACCCGCCCGGAGCCCCACACCCTGCACACCGCCCTGGGCACCCGGGCCCAGGCATGGCCGCCCCGTGAGAGGTCCCACTCCCAGCACGCCACCCCCCCCAGGAGTCTCAGACATGGGGCAACGGGTGGGTCCCTGTGGCCCCCAGCGACCACCAGCACAGGGGCCAGGGGCCGGGGGCCGGGCCGCAAGCTGCTGTGGGCGGGCAGGGCCGGCTGGGCTTCGGCTCCCCCCGAGCTGTTCGCAGCTGGGCCCTGGGGGGGGCGGGCAGCGGAAGCCCTGCTGTGCCGCTGCCCCGCGGGGCTCAGGGTCTGGCACCGTCCTCGGGCTCTGCCGGCCGTCCCCCCTAAGAGGCTCGGAGCCACCCCAACGGGCCCTGCGTCCACCGCCCAGGGACTCGCCGGGGTGGGGGAGGGCCGGAAAGGAGACCCGGGGCAGGCAGCCGACAGACCAGTGTCCACGTGCTGCCATCGGCAGGGACACGCACCATGAAGGGGGGGGGCGTCCCTGGGGGGCCCCGAAGATGCTGCCGGCCACCTGCACGGCGTCCTGGTGGGGGCAGGGCACCTGGCAGCCTCCTCTCGGGGCTGTGAAACTCAGATGAAGGGACCAGTGGGGAGGGGAGGTGACCAGCACCCCGTGGACACAGCCCCGAGGCCCTGCTACACGGGTGTCCGGTGCTGACTCCCAAGGGAAACACCGGCTCTGGCCGCTGCAAGGTCGCTGGGCACCGAGGGGACCTGCTCACCCTGTAGGTTCATGGCCGCCAGCCGCTCCACCGACAGGTGCGACAGGAAGCGCTCCATCCCGTGGAAGAGGAAGCCGGAGCAGCTGCCCAGGGCCTGCTCCCACTGGGCCTGGCTGCAGAGTGGAGGCGGGGCGGGGGCTCGGTGGGCGGGGCCGGCGGGGGGGGCGGGGCCGGCGGGGGAGGGCAGGGGTGCGTGCGCAGGGGTGGGGGACCGAGTCCGCCCCGCCGTCCTCAGAGTGACCCATGCTCAGGGCACGCTCCCAGAACACGTCCAATGTGCCCCCCCCACCCCCTGTCCACTCTCCCTAGAAGGGACCCCATCCCGCTGGGCTAGGGGAAGTGCCGGAGGGACACCCGACCCAAGCACGCCGGGGCCCCACGGGCACCCGCAGACAGGCGCGCTGGGTCCTCATCCGTGACGCCGCGCCCTGACCCGGGCACCCCGGAGGCCGAGGAGGCCGGTGTGTGGGGAAGACAGGCCGGGGTTCACAGGGCAGAACGGGGTTCAGGCAGGAGGGCGCCCAAGGGACAGAGGGGGAGGGGCCCGCATGGGGAGCACCCTCGGGGCCCAGGCGCACCTGGGGAAGGGCCTTTTGCCCAGGTGCCCCGTCCAGCGCGCGGCGAAGGTGTCCCTGAACTTCTCCAGGATCTCCCGGGTCACGGCGATGGGAGTTGGCATCTCTGCGACGGGGATGGAACGGAATGGGTGCAGACGCAGGAGCTCTGTCCCGTCCCACCGCGGCGGGCGTGGGCTCGGGGGCACCGGTCACTGCTGGGGGAACGCTGGTCTCCCTCCCGCCCCCTCGGGGAGACTGAGGGCCGGAGTGGAGCCCCAGGAGCACGGAGAGGTGGGGGTGGGGCGGGGGAGTGCGGCACCTGCGCCCTGGGAGACCCCGCTGTCCCAGACCTCCTGCAGGAGGGCGGGGCGGGGCAGAACCCAGCGCCCGAGCCGGCCCTACGCACCTGGGCCCTGGGCCTCCTCGTAGGGGTCCACGATGACTGGGCCTGGGTTAAGGAGAACCAGCACCTCGGGCTCAGGTCGGCCCGGCGGGCGGGTCAGCAAAGGATACACTTGAAATTGTCCGAGTCCACGGTGACGCAGCTGGAGGGGACGCTCCGGGGCGCGACGCCCTGCCGCAGCAGACAACGAACGGTGGGGGAGGGGGGCACCTCCCGCGGCCCCAGGCCCCCCCCCCCCCCCGTGGCCGCCGGGGCCTCACCCACCCACCTTCGGGCCCCTCTTTGCTGGGCTGCGCTTCTTGAGCTCTTTGCCTTTGGCGTCCTTGGCCCCGGCCGCGTCTGTGGGAGACAGTGAACGGAGAGGTGCCACCACGAAGGGAGAGAGGCGGGCGCAGGGCACAGTGGGGCACCAGCCGCTCGCGCGCCCTCCAAGAGGGTCGCCCTGGGCTCTGCGGGGTTCTCCGCCGCCGCCAGGAGCCAGGAGAGGGAGGGACGGGGGCTGTGAGTTCTCTGAAGCTGAACGACAGGAACGTCTCCAATGTCAAGGCTCCCGGGGCGGGGAGGGGCCTGGGCCCCGGACCTCAGGCAAGGAACAGCCACCAGAGGCTCCCGGGCCACCCCCCACCCCGGGACCCCCCGCTGCCGGCCCCCACGAGGCGCCGTCTGTCCCCCGTGTCGGAAGCACTGAGGCGGTTCGCCGCCTCGTCCCGGCTGTTCCTCCAACAAACGTTTTTGTCTCCGCTGTCTCCTCCGTGGCGGCTCGGGCACTCACGCCGGCCGACCCCCACGTGCTCCGGGACTCTCTGCTCCAACAGCCTCTCCCCGCTGGGGGTCCCCGGCCCCTCCCCCAGGGATCGCGGTTCCCCCTGCCTGGCCCCCGACCTCTGGAAACTGTTAGTTCACGTATCTTGCCTGGGTTTTCCCGTTTCAGCTGGAAGGGTGAATCTACTCTGACTCAACACATCCTGACGGGCCGTGCCCACGCAGAAACCGGCGCCGTGCCCGGCGTGGAGAATCCCCACCGGCCCCGCCCCCCTGCGCACCCGGCACTGGCCCCGCCCCGGAGACGGAGACGCAGGTTCGTGAGGCCGGAGCGTCCCGGTGGAGCGCTGGACACGCCCCCTCGCCTGCCAGCACCTGCCCCGGCCCTGCTTCCACCGCGGGTCCTTCTCGCACAGCGGACACAAGCAGCCCCGTCTCACGCCGCGCCCGCGGCCGGCCGGCGGCTGCGCTCACCTGCCTCGTCCCGGTGCAGCCGGTTGCACAGCATCTGGAGGGAGAAGTCCCGCGACACGGAGGAGACCGGGCCCTCCCTGAAGGCCGCCAGGCCCTCCAGGGGCAGCTCCAGGAGCGGCCGGTCCACGAGGAGGACCACGGTGTCCGCGGCCTCGGGCGGGGCCAGGGGCGGGAACGGCAGCTGCAGGCCAGTGTCGGACACCTGCTCGCGGCCTCGGCCGTCTGGCCCCGGGACACGCTGGACTGCGGGGATGGGAGACGCTGCTGGTTTGGGGGAGTCCCCAGGGCTGGTCCGGTCCCGGGACCCCCGTGGCTCTGAGGGAGGCCCCTCCCTGAGGCAGGCCCTGGAGTGACAGGGCTCCTTCCAGCCAGAGGCCGCCTCCCGGGGGACTGCCGTTTGCACAGGCCCCTTCTCCCCAAGGGGACTGCAGAGGGGTCACCTCCTGGCCTCTGCACGGGCGTGGGAGCTGTGACTTGTCTACTGGGGGCCCCCCCCTCGGCCCGGTGTCCGGGCCCCAGCAGGCGCCCAGGGCCTTGGCTCCGAGTGCTCAGACCCCGGAGGAGGGCGCCGCCAAGCCTTTGCCGGGGAGAAACGCGGATGAATGAGTGAAATGTCTTTAAAAGGAGCCATTTGTGAAGTCAGGCCCCCGGGGGAGGGACGAGGCCACTGCCCACCCCCCTGCGGCTTCCTGTCCGTGGCAGCCAGGGCGCTGCCTGCAGACCACCCACAGCCACTGGGCACTGGACTGCCCCGGAGCTGGCCTCTGCACGTGGGCTGTGACTGGGGGGAGGTGGGGACAGCCCCTTCCAGCCCCTTCTGAGGCACCGGTGGCACTCGGTGCCCCAGGGAAGCTCGGAGGGGGGCCGGCCCGAGGTTCCCAGAGCCTGTTCCTGACGCCCCCCGGCCGTCTGTTGGGGTCGGGCGAGTCCGGGCTCCGCTTCTTCCCATCAACCACCGGGAGGCTCCCGAGACCTCGCAGCTCCGGCCCCGCTGCCTCCCCGTCTCGGCCACTCACCCTGGGGTGACAGGGACAGCTTCTGCTCTTTGTCCTTGCCCTTTGGTTTCCCCGGGTCCGCAGCGGCCGTGGGAACCTGGATTCTGAATGTCAGAGGCACACACATTCGGTGTTAAAAGCGCACGAAAACCACACACACCAGGAACCTCAAGTGCATCACCTTGGGCTGTTTCCCTTCGGCGCAGACCCGCCCCTCTGCCCCCGTGGGGAGACCGGCCTCCTGCATGGGTGGGAGGGCTCAGGACCCTCACCGACCAACGGACCGGCCAGTCCCAGAGGCCCCGGGCCCGACCCCTGCTGCCCCTCCCCCCCACAGCCCACCCGAGGGGCCTGAGCGGGGTGTTCAGAGAGACTGCAGACAGAAGCAGGACTTCCCAGCGGCCGGCGGCCGGCCGGCGGTCAGAGGTGCGGGGAGCCTCGCAGAGCACATGCTGACAGGCCGTGTGTGCTCCTGCTCGGGTGAGGACAGAGGGTGGCAGCTGGGGGCCCCCACCCGTCACTGGGCCCCCTGGGGTGTGCGGCTCGCAGGCCCCCCGACGGGAGAGACAGCCCGGCCCAGGCACCTGGCCTCGAAGCCGCGGAGCAGTGGGAGCAGCGGGCGCAGGTACTCCTCCGTGGCCGCCAGCACGTCGCCGAGTCTCGGGAAAAGACCCCCCTGCGTCTCGGGGCGCACACCTCCTGCCTCCTGTCCGACCCAGACAGCCCGCGGTCAGAGGGTCCCAGGGGCCCGGCCACATGGGGACCCTGCAGGGAAAGGCTACTCCCGGGAACAGCCCGGCGGCCAGGGCCCAGCTCAGCAGCCCCCCTGCCTGCCTCGGCCGGCAGGGAGGCCGGCCTGGGGTCCCAAGGGCTGGAGCCCCTCACCCGCGGCAGGGCACCCCTGCCCGGCTCCCCCGACTCCACCACCCCAGCATTGGGGCTGCGGGCCCGGAGGCTCACCAGGCCTGGTTTCGGGGCCATGGCCTCACTGCCCACTTCCGCCTGGTTCTGCTCCCGGAACTGCTGGGCACTGGCCAACAGGTCAGAGAAGGCGGCTGGACTCACGGCCACCCGGGCCACCTTGCAGAAGCCTATGGAGTCGGACACCACCGCTGTCTCCCGCCTGGCCTCGCGGGCACACCCTGGTGCGCAAACCCTCAAGATTCTCGAGCAGACTGTGGGCATAGGGCTTCCCCACCGGGCATGCCTGCCCAGGGAGGCCAACCCTGCGGACAGCCTGGGAGCCTGGCCAGGCCCAGGGTCGGGGGACCGGCCCCATCAGGGGGTGGGGGGGGAGGGTGAGCAGGGGTCCTGCATGGCTGGGGAAAGAAGGGAAAACCAAAACTTGGCATTGGAAACGGGCCAGGGCTGCAAACGCCGTGAGGGGCCAGTCTTCTGGGACCAGTGGAGGTGGGGCTGCCCCAAGGCTCCGGTCCTGGCCGTGGACGGAACTCAAGGCCACTAAGGAGGAGCTTCAGGGAGGGGCAGACAGCTGTAGGTCCCGAGAAGACAGCAGTTCCGGAGTCCGGAGGCTTCGGCAGCGCGCAGCGAACCACAGGCAGAATCAGGGGCCGGGGCGTGCGGGGGAGGCGGGGTCTCTGCTGAAGAAGGGCAGCGGTCCCGCTGCCAGGGCCACGCCTCCGGAGTAGCCATGGCGACGGCGTGCTGGCGAGGCTGTGCCTGGAGCTGGGCACGGCTGTCACCACGCTGGGGGCCGGGGCTCGCCTGCTCTGAGCCCTCCCGAGCCCGACTGTGGGGAGTGACTCGTGCCTCTGGGTGGCGGGGGATGCCCTGCGTCCAGGGTGCTGCGGGGTGAGGACCTGCCGCGGGGACTCACCCCCCATGTGGAACGCCTTCCCTCTGGCCGTGGGGGTGGGCCTGTGTGTCTCGTAGGCGGCGCCGTAGAGGTGAGTCCTGCGGACGGGGTGCAGGGTGGGGCCCCAGAGATGCAGGTGCTGTGAACCACGTGCACCCCCAACAGGAGCCCCGCCCACCGCGGTGTGGCCAGGTCAAGCTGGAGTCAGACCAGGCCTGTGTGCACACGGCCCCACACCGCCCAGCACAGCCAGCCGCCTCTTCTCCAGACAAGCACACAGGTCTGCCCCACAGGGCTGGCGGCCTCCTGCCCAGACACCCAGGGCCCCCGAGGACAGGAGGGGCCTCGTGGCCACCCCATATCCTGCGGTGGGGGAGCGCACGCACTGACAGGCAGGACTCACCTGTCAGGGGAGTGGTGCAGAAAGAGCACCCGAAAAGCGGGAGGAACCTCACTGAAGAGGTTGAAGTGTTGTTCCGTGACCTGGAGGTTCTGCCAAGCCTGAGTGACAAACAGGGATCGTGGAGGCTCGAGGTGCGAGGGGCCGGCCGCTGGGGGCTGCGGGGCAGAGCCTGCAGGACTCGCGACCGCCACACGGGGGCAGCAGAGCGCACGGAGTCCTGGGGCTGGGAGTTGCGGCCAGGCGCGCACCTGCGCCCTATCCAAAGCGGCATCGCTTCGTGTCTCCACGCCGGGCCCACAAGCACGCACAGCCTTCCGCACATACACCGGCCTGCCCCTCTCCCTAGGCCCGTGGCCTCCAGCTGCTGGGGGTTGACCCCACGGCCCCAGGCACGGACCAGTCTAAGGAACCCAGGGCGCCCCTCCACCCGCTCTCCCTGCGCGCCCGCCGCCCCGGGTGAGCTGACTACTCAGACGCAGGGCTTCCGCTTTCTCATCAGACGAGCTTCGAGGTTGCGGCGCTGGGCGGGTTTGGAGGGCTTCCCAGCCCCTCACCTTGGAAACGGCGGCCAGCCGCTGCTCCACGCTGGCGAGCAGGCGGGCGGAGGTGCGCTCCTGGAGCCGCAGCCCGCGATGGAGGTGCAGCAGGGCCGCAGCTTGCGAGCTGCTGGTGTCGGCCATGGCAGCGAGTAGCACGCTCCGCATGGTCTCCGAGGCCGAGCAACTCTGGAACAAGCGCGAGAGGGGCCCGCAGGGCATGGTTGGGGGGGGGGGGGCGCGAGAGGGGCTCACGGGGGCCCCGGAGAATGCCCCGCCTTCTTTGAGGGCCCCGCCCTCCTCGGGCGCCCGCGGTACAGAGCCACACCTGGGACAGCGCCAGGAACTGGCAGGCAGACTCGGGGTCCTGCACGCCGACACACTCCACCGTCTGTAGGCTGGCGGCTGCCGCCACCTCCAGGAGTCCGTTGCCCAGGGCGACCTGCAGGCTCTGCATTAGCACCTCCGACGCCTGGGCCAGGTACCGCCGGGCCAGCGCCTTCCTCTTCTGCGGGCGGGCACGGGCTCAGGCCGGCTCCAGACGGAGCGGGGCATGCACGGGCGGCGGGGCGGGAGGGCGCGGCGGTACCTTCAGATCAGAGCCTTTCCGGCGCTCCTGCTCGCCCGGGGCCTTCCTGCGCGCCCGCTGGCTGCTGCCGCGCTGCTGCCGCCGCCCGTCCCCATTCTCCGGGAGGATCTGCACACACCTGAGGCTGCTCGTCTGCGCGCCCACCTAGGGGACACGCCGCCTGTCAGTGGCACTGGGGGTGGACAGCGCCCGGCCCAGCACTGCCCGCGGGTCGGGCTTCGGTGAAGGAGCCTAGAGCACCAGGGAGCGGCTGGCCAGAGCAGCCGTAAGGGAGCGGCTGGGGGTGTGAGCCGCGTCCACTTCAGTACTGCAAACTCAGCACCCCACCCCCACCCCGCCTCCACGCTCTGCAGTGCTGGGCGGCTTGAGCCAGGGGCCCGCCTGCCCTGGGGACTAGAGGCTGAGGTGGGAGCCCTGGTCAATGGGGCAAGAGGAAGCCGGGCTGGGAAAGAGCTGGGCCTGGCCACCTGGGACTGAGCACACGTTTCCCGGACAGCTCCTCTCAGGAGGGCGATGTTGGCGCCACTTCATGGGCAAGGCCCCGACTCAGACAGCAGGGGCCTCCGAACACCTGGACCTGCCTCAGTCGCCTCTCTCCGTCTGTCGTCTGTCCCCAGAGATCTGGCAAGACTGCTTCTTGCCTCGTCTCCCCTGCTGCAGCCACGCCACCCTCCCTAACTGGGGACAGGCTGAGGCCGACTTGCAGGCTGGTTCCGGGACCGGGTGTGTGCGGAATGCCTCGTTGTTGTTGCTGAAACACAGGCGGCAGCTCAGTGAGCAACAGGGGCACCTACCAGGAGGCCCTCCTGCCAGTAGGAGGTCGGGGGCACCGGGTCCGTCCGCAGGGCCAGCAGGTGCAGGGCCTTCCCCGCCAGGCCCAGGAGCCGCGCGCGGATCTCCGCGCAGCCCACACTCAGCGGCTGCACGCTCCCCAGCTGGGCCAGCACCACGTGGGCCAGGGTGCGCCGCAGCGTGCGCCACTTCTGCAACGCAAACAGCGTCAGGGGCTCGCTCCGCCCCCAGGACGCAGCAGGCCCTCCCTCTTCCTCTAGTGCCCCCTGACCCGCCCCTCTTGTCCCTGGGAGTGGGGACAGGAAGCCCGTCTGAGAAGTGCCCCTCCACACTGGGGACAGTGTCCAGGGCTTGGGCCACGGGAGGGCCACTGACGTTTGCTCGCACGGCCTCAGCTCAGGGCTCAGCGGTGCGCGTGAGCGCGCGCACGGCTCCGCGCAAGGGCCATCTGACCCACTCACAATTCTGTCCAATCAACTCGGTTCGGGATGCAGGAACCCTAAAAACGTCTAAAATGGCAGAACGGGTCCTTTGGAACAAGCGTTCTGCAAATTCAACTTATTTTTTAAATAAAACGCAATTCACATCACGGACTTTTTCACGCGCCGACATCGTCGTCAGAGCAGTCGCGGGACCGGGTGGGAGAGCTGCCAGAGCCCGGAGCCGTCCCCACGGGACCCGGTTTCGCCAGCCAGTCAGCCTGGGGCGGTCAGAGGAGACCCTTCCTCGGCAAGGCCTAGAGACCCCCAAGCTCGGGGCGGGGGCACGCTTGGGAACCCGGCCCCGGGGGCCCGCCCCGCCGTGCCCAGGCCGCGCGCAGCGGGTTACCAGGCCCGTGGCGGTGTAGTCGCTGGAGCTGTGCAGGTAGTCGGCCAGCAGCTTTTCCAGGGAGCCCTGCTCCAGGGGCCGCTCCCGCACCAGCTGCAGCGTGTCCAGGGCCACCTCCACCAGGGTCAGCTTGAGGCGCGCCAGCTTCCGCATCAGCGGCGTGTTCACGCTCTGCGCCTGCGCACGTGGGGGGACGCCGTCAGAGCCGCAGGAGCGTCCGCCGAGGCCCGGCGCCCCTCGAATCAGCGCGGGTGGGGCGCCCCTGACGCCTCGTCGCTGTGTCCTCTCGCAGGGGGACACGCAAGGCCGCCGCCCCCGGGAAAACAGCAGCCGTTCCCTCCCGCGCCTTCCCTCTCCCTCCCTCCCACCACTGGAAGGTCCTCCTCGAGTCCGGGCTTCCAGGAGGTTCCGGAAACGGGCGCACGCGGCGTGGATTCCCTGCGTCCGGCTCGTCTCGCTCGGCTGCCCGTTCCTCCCACCGCCCAGCGGACGGGCCACGCTGCACGTCCACCCGGCTCGGGCGTCGTGACCTCACGTCTGTGTGGGGGCGCGTGCGTTCCCCTCTCTGGGGCAAACCCCGGGGCGGGGGTGGCTGGGCGGTGCGGCGGGCCACCGGGTTTGCCGAAGCAGCGGCGCATTTCCGGGCCACCGCGGTGCGGGACGGCCCGGCTTCCAAGTCCTCCGTCCGCACGGGGGAGCGGCGGTTTCTGCTGCGCTGAGAATCCCCGCTTCTCGGAGCCACCAGCAAAGCCTGCCTTCTTTCCACGTAATTGTGTTCCATCCACGTTTTTTTTAGAGATGTCAGTTCAAACGTGCCCGTTTTTCCTTGGGCTGTTTTTTTTTTATGAGGCTTTCCGATGTTTTCTGTACATGAGACCTTTGTCGGGGAGACGATTTGCAAGTGCTTCCTCCCCGCCTGCGACCCGTTTTCATCCTCGCAGTTGCGTTCCGAGGAGCAGAAGCCCAGCGCACTGGGTTACTCTTACGGGTTTGCTCTCCGTGTCGTAGGGAAGGAATCTTTGCTAAACCTAAAGTTGCCCAAGTGTTTTCCTGTGTTTTCTCCTAGAACTTCAGTCGTTTTAGCTCCTACCTTGACGTCTACGACTCAGTTCGAGTTCATTGCTGCAGGTGGCGTGGGGCATGGACTCCAGTGTGGGTGCTAGGCCCCTGGCCGTCCCGGTGCCACCTGGGCCCTCCAGGCCTTCCCTGCTGACCGGCCTCGCGTCTGGTTCTGGGTGCTCTGCTGCGTTCCGTTGGCCTGCGTGTCTGATCTTACACCAAAACCACGCCCTCCTGGTCCCTGGTTCTACGGTGAATCTTAAAATCAGGTCGTGCTGGACTGGGCCTTCCCTCCTCAAAATTGAGCCGGCTGCTGCCAGGAGTCCAGCACATGCCACAGTGGCCGTGTGGGTTTCTGGGGACAAGCCTGCAGTTATTTCGGGAAGGATTGCAGGTAATTAAGGGAGGAGTGACATCTTAATAATATCAAGCCCTGTGACCTGTGAATTTGATACAGCTTTCTGTTTACTCAAGTCTCTTTAATTTTTCTCAACGATGTCTTGTGGGCCCTGACCGGTGTGGCTCAGTGGGTTGGGGGTCATCCTGCAAAGCGCAAGGTCGCCAGTTCAAATCCTGGTCAGGGCACAGGCCTGGGCTGCGGGTTCAGTCCCAGGTAGGGGCACGTGCAAGAGGCAACCAGTCGAAGTTGCTCACACACTGATGTTTCGCTCCCTCTCTTCCTCCCTCCCTTCCCCTCTCTAAAAACCAGGTGATAAACAATTGTTTGGTGGTTCTCAGGGTACACATTTACACATTTTTGCCAGGTTTCATTTTTATGCTGTCATAAATGATACTGTTTTTAAATATGTAATACCTGATCACACGTGGGATATAGGTTCATAAAGTTAACATTTGCATGTTGTTCTTATACCCCATGAGCTTCCTAAACTCATTTGTTAGCACCGGTAGCTTTAGGACGCTCTTTTGTAGGTGGTGTGGGATTTTCTTTTTTTAAGAGTTTATCTATCTTCCAGAGAGAGGAGACGGGAGGGAGAAAAAGAGGGAGAGAAACATCGATGGGCCAGCTCCCGCCCGCCCCCTGCTGAGGCCCAGCCCCAACCTTGTGCCCTGACGGGGAATCGAACCGGCAATCCCTCGGCTCGCAGGCTGGCGCTCAGCCCACTGAGCCATAGCAGCCAGGGCGGATTTTCTACGTTGAAGGTCACATTGTCGGCGAGAGGCCTCGCCCTGCGGAGGCCTGGGCCCAGGGAGCACCCCCAGCCTGCCATCCTGCCGCCCTGCCGTGTCCTGCCGGGCCGGGCGGGGTCCGCTCCGGCTCTTGTCTCGGACGCCTGTCACTGGGGTGAGGAAGTTTCCTTCTGGTGACAGTTTGTTAAGAGTCAGCCCTTATTATGTGAAATGTTAAAGGGACTTATCTAAGGAACAGAAGATCAAGAACTAGGAACAGTAAAATGACAACAAACTCTCAACATCAACATCTGAATCTAAAAGGAAAACCCCCAAACCAAGCAAACAGCGAGAACAGGAACAGAATCACAGAAATGGAGACCACGTGGAGGGTTATCAGCAGGGGAGGGGGAGAAGGGGGTAGAGAGGAGGAAAAGGTACGGGGATTAAGAAGCATAGATGGCAGGTAGAAAACAGACGGGGGAGGGGAAGACTAGTGTGGGAAATGGAGAAGCTGAAGAACTTACATGCACGACCCGTGGACGTGAGGTAAGGGGGGGATTGCTGGAGGGAAGTGGGGTGCAGGGTGGAGGGGGACCAAAGGGGGGAAGGGGACAACCATAATAGCATAATCAATAAAATATACTTAAAAAATAGTTTGCTAAGAGTCTTCTTTTTAAGCCCTGGCTGGCGTGGCTCAGTGGATTGAGCGCAGGCTGCGAACCAAAGTGTCGCAGGTTCGATTCCCAGTCAGGGCACATGCCTGGGTTGCAGGCCACGGCCCCCAGCAACCGCACATTGATGTTTCTCTCTCTCTCTCCCTCCCTTCCCTCTCTAAAAAGTAAATAAATAAAATCTTTAAAAAAAAGTCTTCTTTTTAAAACCAGGAGTAGGTGCTGCAGGTTACCGACTGCTTTTTCTGACTGTGGTGCCGTATCAGTCTGTCTGATGGTGGGAACCAAACCGAGTGCCGTCTGAGTGCTGAGCGCCTCCTGGGCTGACCCCGACGGGGCATGGCCACGCCGCACGTCTCACACGCGATCAGACTCAGTTTGCTGACTCGCTGCTTGGAGTCTGCGTCAGGAAGACGGCGGCCTGTGGGGTCCCCGTGGGAGCCGGGTGCGGCCGGAATGCGCCCCCCGCCTTCAGGTCCCCCGATGGGCCTGGCAGCGCCGTGCCCCTCTCTCTCCGAGCAGCAGACCCACCAGCGAGGCCATCGGGACCAGGCCCTTTCTTCAAGGACAGACGCACGGCCACAGACTCGGCTCCCCCCACGGACGGACGGGGACGCTCGGTCCCCGGGCCCTGCAGAAGCCCCGGTGGTTCCGCCTTCCGCTGATCTGCTCCCCAGCACCGGAGCTGCCGACCAGCCGTGCGGCACGAGGCAGTCGGGACACTCGCTCGCCGACCCAGGGCGGGGCACGGTGGGCTCACGGCTGCGACCCCACGAAGCAGCGTTTATTCTTGGGGGGTCACCTGTTCATACTGCATTTCCCAAACCAGCAACTGTGAACCTGCTTTGGCCCCACAGCTTGCTCATCCTCTGTAAATTTTAAAGTTATTCTCCTTCCTGTTTAATTTCCGAGACTTCCTGTTGCCGCCTTTACTATTTCTGGCCTTTTCTTCTGCGCCCTCCAATCTGCCGCGGACCCAGCCGTCACATGTCCAGCTCGGACACCGCAGTTTGGTCTCCAGAAGCTGGACGGGGGTCTTTAAAAACACCCCCACACCCTCACGCTATTGCCTGAACAGGCAGAAAACAACCGTAACAGCTGTTTGAATGCCCTTGAGTTGCCCTTCAGCGCCGGGTTGGTTTTGATGGACACATCGTCCTCCCTATGATGGGTGACACTTCCCTGCCTCTCGCACGACCGATAATAAACTCCTGCGGGCGAGAACTGTAAGGGCTGGTGACTCCTGATGGGCTGCCAGGCGCTGCACATTCCACTGTGTTGGGTGTGGGCTCTCCCGTGTCCCTCTGGTCCCTCTGAGCTTTGGTCAGGGACAGCTGTTTGGGGGCAGTTGGTCGGTCCTTTTGGGTCTTCCTTGCCGGGCTTCCTGGGGGGGCCTGGAGCACTGGCCCCCACCCCCCACCCCGGGGCTGGTCCCACCCACCCCGCCCGAGGCAGGCCCTGCGTCTCCCTGCCCTGCAGCACGGGCTGGCCCGGCTGGCGCTGCTCCCTCTGTGCCCCCTGCAGGGGGAACCCACCCTCCCAGAGATGTCCATCTGCCCGGCCTCAGGTGGGCACCCGGCCCCTCAGCGTCCCCCCAGCCTTCCCTCCCTGCTCCTCTGCAAAGTCTCGCCGCCTGCTCTCCCCGGATCCCCAGCTGCACCCCCCAACTGGGCAGTGGCCGGCCTCCCTGGGTCCCCCTGCTCCCCCGGCAGCTGCAGGGAGTGTGGCCAGTACAGGGCCGTTCCGCGGGGGAGGCCTCACGCCTCAGCCGGCCCACACTCACCTGGTGCAGGGACAGGAGGCTCTGGACGCCGTGCAGCAGCTGCTCTGCCTCGGCCACGGCGTCCTGGGCCAGGCCGTAGGCCTCCAGCTGGCGCCCTGTCCGCTGCTCCTCGTCCGGCTCGCTCTGGGCCCACAGCCTGCGGGAGACAGAGGGCCGTCGCAACTGCGTCGGAGTGGCTGCCGCCGCAGGGACAGAGGGCACGGTGTGCGGTCCCTGCGTGACTGGCCCGTGTCCCATCAGCACTTGCGGTGCTGAGGCTGGAGGTACCACACGCACAGATGTTCTCGGCACGTCCAACATGACCCCAAGGGTGTCACCCCCCCCCCACGTCTCACCCAGACAGACACCGGGTCCCAGGGCCCCGGGGCCCCACTGTCCCGGGACAGCTGCCTGCATTTCCTAATCCCTGCAGGGACCACCCATGTCTGTTGTGGTGACAGGATTAGGTGACACCCTGCCTGTGTCCTGATGGCTTTCCCTGGAAGAGCCATTTTCACATGTGACCTGTGACCTACGTGTTGTGCTCCCAGATGCTGCGTGTCACCAAGCATGTAGGTGTCCCAGGGTGGGAACCGGGGCTGTGCCCGTCCCTCTGTGGGGCCGTGTGCACGCACACACACACGTGACACATGTCTGCACGTGGGAGATGTGGCCGGGCCAGACGTGGGTGGGGCCCGCGTGGGAACGCTGGGTGGAGGGAAGCGCTGTGTCCGGGGCGGGCTGAGGGGGCTGAGAGACGCACCGGTGTTTGCGGGGATTGAGGGGGGGGCGGGGCACACAGGAGGCAGGACAGGCGCACGGGCACCTGTGCCAGCTGACAGGGAGGGACGCCCTGGGTGTCCCCAGGGCTGGGGCCAACGACATCCTGACGGAGGAACGCGGCCGCGTGGAGGGCCGTCCGGGACGGGCCGGGCCTGCGCCTGGGGCTCAGCGAGGCCAGTGGCCGTCAGGGAGCGTGGGGCCCGGGGCCTCCCGAGCCTCCCAGCGGCCGCCCGAGGGGCTGCGCCCGCCCCGGCCCCTCACCCGCCCCGGCCCCTCGCCTCTTCAGCTGCACCCGCTCCAGCATCACGTCCACGCGGCCCTCTCTGCAGCCGCAGCTGACCAGCTTCTCCTCCACCTCCGACAGGCGGTCGCCCAGCTCCTCCAGCAGCGACGGGAGCTCCGCCGGCTCCCTGCCGGCCGACGCCCGGGCGGCCCGGGCCCGGAGACTGAGGCACCTGCAGGGGCCGGGGGCTCCGCTCTAGGTCCCCCCTCGGGACTCGCGGCCAAGACTGGAGGGGCCGGTTCCTGGAGCACAGACCCCCGGGAAGGCGGCTCTGAAGCCAGCCGGGGCCCTGGGACGCTCGCAGCCCCGGGAGAAGCGGGGCTGCCACTCGGCCTTCTGTCCCCAGAAGGCCGGCCCCGGCCCAGGCAGGGGGAGGAGCCCTGGCCCTGCCTCCCGTGGACGGACACGTGGCTCCAAACGCCAGCCAGAGTAGCGGGGCGGGGCAGGCGGCCAAGCACCGGGCCGTGCAGTGGACGGACTTCCCCCGGCCTGGCGGCACCTGGCCCTCAGCCCAGGAGGGACGCTGCCGTGCCCAGTGGGAGGTGAGGGGCGTTCCCTGAGGATTCAGGAACGTGACCGGGCCTCCGGCCTCTCTGGAAAGGTCCCCGGGGGCCCACGGCCTGAGGGGAGGCCCCTCCCACTGCCCAAACCTGCCTCCCCCAGTGGCCGCGACCGACGCCCTGCCCCTCGGAGGTCAGAGGCACAGGCGGGGCACCAGGGCAGGTGTGGCTCCACGGCCCCTGCCGGGGGAGCCTCTGACCCTCCCGGGTTTGCAATCCGGTGTCGGAAGCCACCAGGGGGCAGGGAAGAGAAGCCGCGGCTTTGACCGTTTCTCTCGAGAGACTACCTGGCCTCCAGGTCCGTGGCCATGAACTCCAGGACGGGGGCTCGGTTAGGTCTCTCCTGCTGCAGCTCCCGGAAGGTCCCGCTGAGCTCCTGGAAGAGCTGGCAGACCTGGGGGGCCGCGCAGCGCCGGTGTGAGCCCGGGACCCGGCCCGCGGCCGCCCCCGCCCCAGCCCGGCGCCCGGCCCCCACCCCCTCACCGTCGCTTTCTGTCCCTCCTCCTCCGCGGCCACGAGCGTGTCCGCCAGGGTCAGGGTGGAGCGGTACCAGAACTCCTCGCCGCCGCCCAGGTGCTGGGCGTGCCAGACCATCTTCTTGGCTTGGCCGTAGTTTCTCTCCCTGTTGGCCAGCTGCGCCAGGAGGAGCAGGCACTTGGCTTCTGCGCAAGGGTCCTCCAGCTCCTGAGAGACACGGGCGTTCGTGGAGACAGGACGGGGATGAGGGAGAGGGAGCGGGATGGAGACGGAAGGACAGGCGGGCCTCTCCACGCCGTGGCCGCCTGCCGGGCTCCTCGCGGCCCTGGAGCTGTCTCTGTGCTGGCCCCCGGGGCCTGTGTATGTTAGGAGCTGCTTGCCGGGTTCTGGACGGTGGTCAGAGCGCCGGGAAGCCCCTCTGTTTGGCGGAGGCCCCAGCACCCTCCTCCCTCCCAGGACACAGCCCCCGAGGCCGCAGCCCCAGGCCAGGAGCCTCAGTCTGGGGGCTGTTCCAGGGCCGCCCCATCCTCCGTTCGCTACGCACAGTGCTCAGAGGGGCTCTGGGCGGGCCTTGCTGGCCACGGGCTGAGCCGGGCGGGAGGCCCCAGGGCTGTGAGGCTAGCACAGGTCCAGGCTGGCTGGGCCTGAGGAGGGCGGCTGGTGTGCAGCCCACAGAGGCCGGAGTAGGGAGGTCCCGGGGAGCTCGTGCCTCTCACCCAAGAGCCAGGGGGACCCCCAGGGACTGGCACATGGGGGCTTGGGTGTGGGTGCGGTGGCCGGCGGCTGGCGTGGGGCTGGACGCCGGCATGGAGAGTGGTAGGTGCCACTCGGGGACGCGCGGTGGGGACAGGCGCTCTCCCCAGGAGTCAGGGGAGACAGGACCGTCCCTGCAGACGCCCAGCTGAGCCCCAGGGAGGAGCCAGGAAGGGGCAGAGCCCCGGACTCCCGCAGGGGGGGCGGCCGCAGGGGCGGTGCTGAGGCGGAGCGGCCGAGAGACACCTGCGCACACCTGTCCCCGAGGCGGAGAGGTGACCCTCCCAGGGCCTTCGCGGCCCCACTAAGGCTCTGTCTGCACCCTCGCCCGGGCCGCGCTGCATCGGGGAGCTGCAGAGCCGCGAGCCTCCCGGGAGCTCGCCTCTGAGCGCCGGACGACGGAGACAGGCCACCCACCTGCGGCAGGGCGAGCAGCTGACGCTGGTGGAGGGACGCACCAGAGGGCCCCACTCCCTGCCCCGGGGCATCCGTCCTTGGGGAGGGGCGAGCCCAGGAGGGGAGAGCAGCCCAGGTGGGGGTGAGACCCCAGAGAGGCCACGCACACCCGCGAGGACGCCCCCAGAGCAGTGAGGACGACAAGTTCACTGGGGAGGGGGGCCTGGCGCATCCCCTGCCTGGGGTGTCTCCAGGGCCTCGTGCCCCCACCCCCACCGAGGAAACAGAGCAGGGCCCCCTCACGGGGGAAGAGGCCCTCGGCCGCTGGGGGCCGGCCCGGGCGCAGGGTCGTGGGGACGAGCTCAAGGCAAAGCGAAGGACGTGGGGCCTCCACAGGGAACACGGGGTCTCCACAGGGGAGCCAGGCGCGGGACCCTGGGCCCGGAAGGTTCCAGACTCGGCTCCCGACAGACCGGCCCGAGGCCCGCCCCCTGCGGCGCGGCGGCGGGCACCCTACCTGGAAGGCCTGGCGGGCCTCGGCCAGCAGCAGCCGCGCCGGCTGGCACAGGTCCAGCTCCAGCAGAACTTCGGCCTTGAGGGCCCACAGCTGCGGGAGGGACGTGCCGTCCAGGCCTCTCCCGGTCTCAGCGTTCACCCGCAGAACCTGCAGCGCACGGGGCGCACCCCTCTGAGGGCGGGTCTCCTCCCCCCGGACCAGGCCGCCACCAGCTGCGCCAGGGCGGGTTGGGGCTGCCCTCCTCCCTCCCACCTGCGCTCTGCGGCCCTCCCCCGGACGGGCAGCGCCCCGGCCGGCGCGGGACAAGTCGCTGAGCTCTTGCACGTCAGCCAGACCACGAAGGACCCCCACCGCCCTGGGTGCCGGTCACCCCCGGAGCCGTCCTGCAAGGGCAGCCTGCACCCCGGGCCAGGCTGGCCCTGTCCCTCCCAGGCCCCGAGCTCTGACTGGGCCACTCGGACCCCCACACGGACAGGCGCTCTCTGACCTCGGAGCAGTGGCCAGGGCAGGCGCGTCCACGCTGGGGAGCCCCCAGAAGGGGTGCCCGCCGAGTTCAGGGGGGTGCAGGGCGGCGGCCAGACAGACGGGCATGCTCTGGCCGCGAGGGCCTCGCCCTTCCCGGCACCGCGGGCTGCCCCTCTCCCCGCCAGCCAGGCCGTCTGCTCTGCGTTCTCTCCGGGCCCCTGCCGGCCCGTTCTGGGGCGGTCTGCAGTCCCGCCTTCCCTGGGGACTTCCGGGGCCCATGGAGAGGACACACACCGTCTGCTCCTGAGGTTCCCGGGACACCGCAGAGGTCTGGGGCGCAGCACAGTGGCAACAAGCCCCGGGGCCCCGGTGGTGGCTGCAGCCCTGCCCCCACACCCCGGGCGGGCGCAGTGGGTACCTGCTCCTGGGCCGTGAGTGGCTTCGTCTCCACGGACACCCCGCCGCTGGAGGGCTCGGTCAGCGCCCCCAGACTCTCGTCTCGCAGCGGCTCCCGGCTCTTCTCCTTCCTCAGGGCGATCTCCTTCCTGTAGCTGAAGCCAGGGGCACGGGCAGCACGCTGAAGCAGCAGCGCAGCGGCCGAGAGACGCCCGGGAAGGACAGCAACTACGAGAGGCCCCCACACGCTCACACTCACGGGTTCGCGAAGATCAGGAGGACTCCAGGGTGTGGCGGCGCACGGGACCCCCAAGTTCACGCTGCACTCCCCCCCCCCCGGGGACTGCAGGCCCACACGCCCCCTGCGGACCTGCCACTCCGACCTGGGCTGGGCGCTCACTGCGAACTCCAACTCCGGTGCAGAGACGCAGCTCTGCCCGCAGAGCCGGCCCATCAGGCCACCTGCCCCGCCGCCACCGGCAGTGCCGCGGCTCCCCTTTGCCCTGGAAGTTCTCAGTCCTCGGGGGCGCCCTCCCCGGCCCGGGACAGGCCGCTCACAGGCGGGTCAGTCAAACGATAAAGTGCACCCCCAGCCCAGCCCCCCAGCCCCTGGCCCCCTGGGCACTGGACCCCAGGGCCCTCCCCACATCCGGCTGCCCGGCCGGGCTGAGCAAGGGGGCCTGGGGCTGGCGGGGACACAGCCCGGAGCAGGGCCACAGGGGTCTCCCCTGGCTCTGAGCCGGAACCGCGCGCACCTGGCCTGCTCCGCCTCAGCGATGTAGGCCTGCCCCACGGCGTCCTCGTGGGAGGCGGCGGCGTCCCTCAGCTTCAGCTCCGAGCAGACCAGGGCGAGCCTGCGGGGGGGCGGGGGACAAGGGGCACAGGCTGCCAGGCGGGCACCCCAGCCCCCCAGGCTGCACTGCAGCCAGGGCGCCGGGTGGACGTTGGTGAGCGGAGAGGAAACGTGCGATTGGGCGACCTTTTCAGTGACCTTCCGGGCCGAGCGACATCGCTGGGGAGAGCACCGGGTGGCCCCACCGGGTTTCGGGCGGGGAAAGCCGGCCGCACCCGTCCACGGAGCTGACTCTACAACCCCCGACTTCGAGGGCGGCGCCTCGGCCACCGTCCCACCACTGAATTCTTGTGAAAAATGATTTTTTTAAAAAGATCCGTTGAGCCCCGGCTGGCGTAGCTCAGTGGATTGAGCGCAGGCTGCGAACCAGTGTCGCAGGTTCGATTCCCAGCCAGGGCACATGCCTGGGTTGCAGGCCATGGCCCCCAGCAACCGCACATTCATGTTTCTCTCTCTCTCTCTCTCCCTTCCCTCCCTGAAAGTAAATAAATAAAATCTTTAAAAAAAAGAAATTCTCAATCTTAAAAAAAAATTCGTGGAGGCGCAGCTGACGTGCGGTGCTGCGTCGGCGGCCGGTGCACACCCTGGTGGCGCGGCGCGGGTGCCCCGCGGTGTGACGCCCACGGAGTCACAGAGCCAGCCGCCGGTCACCACGCAAGGCTGCCGTGCGGTTTGGACGGGTCCGAGGGCCACAGAACGGCCACACAAGCGCCCCGGGAAGTTTACTTTCCCCGGAAGTAGGGACGGGGCGCTGACCGGAGGTGGTAGAGGTCTGCGAGGCTCTTGCTGTCCACGACGCAGGCCGAAACCAGGGCCCCCAGCTGCAGCACCGGGACGGTGAGCTCGTGCAGGGACAGCTTCCGCAGGGCCGCGACCAGCTGGTCCAGGAAGTACAGCGTGTACGTCTGCGCGGGCACAGGGCAGACAGGAGGGCGCGGGGTGGGGGGCGCGGCCGGACCGCCAGCCCCCAGGGCCTCCCCCCAGAGCGCTCTGTCCCCCTGTCCTGGGCGGCTGCCTTCGTCTCGGGCAGCCACCCCTGACCCCTGGGCTCCAGCGCGGCCACAGGTTCTCAGAAGAAACAACCCATTTACGAACCTATGCGACTGAGTGTTTTCGTCTCGTTTTTCTGCTGAAAACTATCAGTCCATTAAAAGCAGAATTTGCCCTGGCTGGTGTGACTCAGCGGATTGAGCGCGGGCCTCCGAACCAAAGGGTCGCCGGTTCAATTCCCAGTCACGGCACAAGCCTGGGTTGTGGGCCAGGTCCCCAGTAGGGGGCGTGTGAGAGGCAACCACATGATGTTTCTCTTCCTCTCTTTCTCCCTCCCTTCCTCTCTGTCTAAATGTAAATAAGTAAAATCTTTAAAAAATAAAAATAAATTCAGGAATGATAAAGGACACAGGGACAAAACCAAGGGGAGGGGTGGAAGCAAGGGAGGGAGGTGGGTTTGGCTGGGGTGAGGGGGAGTGGTGAGGGGAAAATGCAGATAACTGTAACTGAGCAACAATAAAGTAATTTTAAAATAAAAATTAAAAATTAAAGTAGAATTTATTCGTGGACACATACAACTAATATTTCTTGTAATGTTCTTGATTTTTAAAAATTACTCTTCAGTGGAAAATTGGAAAAGTTGGATGAACTGTTTTAAAAATCAGCTTAACCTGGCTGGTGTACCTCAGTGGACTGAGCGTGGGCTGTGAACCAGGCATCACAGGTTCGAGTCCCAGTCAGGGCACATGTCTGGGTTGCAGGCCAGGTCCCCAGCAATAACACATTGATGTTTCTCTCTCTCTTTCTCCCTCCCTTCCCTCTCTAAAAATCAATAAATAAAATCTTTTTTCAAAATCAGCTTAAAAGCACCGAAGCGCGGACGATGCTGAGGGAGGGTCCTGGGCCGGGGCCTGGGAGTGACCCTGGCGTGCTGGGGCGCGCCTGTCCCGGGCCATCGGCCTGTGAGGGAGGTGGCCGAGGGGCCGGAGGGTGCTTCTGGCTCTGTCTGTGGGGCGAGGCCCCAAAAGCAGAGTGCCCGGCGGGGTCCAGCCCGGCCCGGGTGCGGCCCCAGCCCTCGGCGCCTGGACAGCCGGGAGGGACTCAGGACTGGGGACCCCCGGCGAGGCTGCTCAAGAAAGGGGTGGGAGGGAGCAGAGGTCTCTGCAGACCCCCCCCCCCACCACACACACACTAAAAGTCATGAGGGCATTAAGAACGTCGCGCCAAAATCTTTAAAACGTGCACCGGATGGAAACAGCTGAGGAAGAGACAGCCCACGGAGGCCGTTCCGAGGACGGAAACGGTGAGGGGTTCTGCGGCTGTTCCGTTCACGGGACCCGGGACGTGAGACCTTCCCAGACGAAAGAAGATCCAGGCCCGGGAGGCCTCCCCGGAAACCCGCCCCAACCCCCAAGGACGGAGAAACAGTGAACCCTGGGTCAGCCCTCCCCCGCGGAGCAGAGAGGGCCCCCCCCACCGTCCCCCGCGCACCGATGCGGCCGCACAGCCAGGACCCCAGGAGCACGGCTGGCAACGTGCCGCCCGCGCCTGGGACGGTCGGCCCCCCACCCCCCCACCCCCGCTGACTCACCGGCCTCTGGATGCTGGCGGCGTTGACGGTGGAGTCGCTGCGGTCCTGCTTGAACATGGCCGTCACCTCTTCCGGGCAGAAGTAGGAAGCCCAGGCCTCCACGCTCGTTGGGACTTCCCCCGGCTCCCGGCCGAGAGCCGGGATTTGGGGCTGTGGGGCGGGGGCTCAGCGTTTGGGGTCGGCGGGAGCAGGTGGCAAGCTGCAGCAGAGGGGTCGGGGCCCCGGGAGGCCGCGCCCGCGCCCCCTGTGCCCCCTGTGCCCCCTGCGCCCGCTGTCCCTGAGCCACACCCGACGTCACGTCGGAGACTCTCGGGGACGGCGCTGCCCGGAGGTGCCCACACTGAGCTCTCTGCCCCCTGCACCAGAGCCCCCGGGGCCCCAGGCCACGGCCCCCGTGCCACCCGCACAGCCAGGCGAGAGCCCAGCTCCGGGGGCTGCTCAGCCGGGACAGGGGGCAGACTGGCCGCAGGAGCGCGGCCTCGAGGACTTGCCGGTGCTCGGTGAGAGGTCGGTGTGCCGGCCGGCCCCGCGCGGTGGCGAGGCTGGGCTGCCCCTCCCACCCCCACACACCCAGGACCCGGGTGTGCCTGCCCGGCACCTTGCAGGCCCTTTGACCTGTGACTTGCTCTGGCGTTCAAAAGCCTCCAGGGAGGAGCCAGACATCTCCCCACCCCCCGTCACCCGTAGCACCCCTGGGGGCCTGTGTGAGAGGAAGAGCCGGGAGGGAGGGAGAAATCACAGCCCCCGTTTTACGGAGAGGACACTGAGGCACAGGCAAGCCCATCGGGCCCCAGGCCTGGGTGCTGAGCGGTGGCCACGCCCAGCCGCGCGGCCCTCGCCCTCCACGGTCCCGCCTGCACCTCTGGGAGGGACGAGTTACCAGCTTCAGGTCTTTGACCTTCTCCTTCTCCTTGTCCTTGTCCTTGACCTTCTCCTTGTCCTTCTCCTTGTCCTTGACCTTCTCCTTGTCTTTTTTAGGCAACAAAAAAAGGGAACTAGCTTCTGCTGGAAGCTTACTTTCTGAAAAGGATCTTCCTGCCGTCGCTAAGGACACCTGGGGAGGAGGAGGACACCTGCAGGGACAGGTGCGAGTCCCCCGCGTCCCCCAGACACTCCCAGCCCGGGCGCGGGCCAGCCACCCTGCAGCTCCGAGTGGCAACCCCGTGTCCACTCATCTGCTGCGGCCACACCCGGGGAGGCCGGCCAGGCCGCGGTGGCGGCAGCGTCCCGGGGGAGGGACACGCAGACTGGGGCCTGGCAGGGACCCAGGGGAGGGTGGCCCTCGAGGAGGGCTTTACAGGGAGTGAGTGTCCTGAAGGGTCTCCCAGAATCCTGGGGGGAGGGGGGTCCTTCCCACTCTTCCTGCTGCCGGGGGGCACTGCCCGCAGGAGGTGCCCGGAACCGGAGGCCACCGGGAGCTGCCAGGAAGGGGGCCGGGAGGAGGTGGGGGAAGGGGCGGAGGAAGCCAGGCAGGGGACAGCGGGGAGAAGATTCTGGAAGCCCAGCAGCAGGGCTGCTGGTGGTCAGAAGGACACTGGGTTCGGCTACTGTCCACGCTACATGCAGGGGCGAGGGCGACCCTGGCGGGGGGCCTCAGAGCAGAGGGGCCGGCTGGAGGCAGCGGCGCTGGCGGGGGCAGCGGGCACCGGGACAGCGTGGACGGGGACGCCACGCACGTCTTGCGTCTTCAGAGTGTCTTGGGACGCAACCGAGCGGAGCCGCGGTCTGGCCCCGGGAAGAGGGGAGCCCGCCCCGCGGCCGCGCAGCCCCACCTGCCAGATGCGCCGGACGGCGGTGTACGCCAGGAGGCAGCAGTCCTGGTAGCTGGCAGAGCTGGGGGACACGGTCAGGGCCAGCAGGACGTGGATGCGGGCCAGGGCCTCCAGCTGCCTCACACTGCGCAGCTTCTCCAAGGAGACCGGCCCCACGTCCGCAGGCCCTGGCGGCTCCGGGTCGGCCGGCGTGGGCGAGAGCTCCCCTGCAGCGGGGCAGGGGGCAGGGGGCGCCGCTGGTGTCTGTGGCTCCCGGGATGCTGCTGGGTCGGGGGTGACGGGACCCCGTCCCATGGGCCAGGTCCAGGCCGCCTCCGTGCTGGAGCCGGGGGCAGGGCCGTCACACAGTCCCGTCACCCTGGCCACGGCAGGGACCCGGGGGGGCTGGGCCTGACTCGGGCGCGAGGGCTTGTCTTACTGGAGTCGGGACCCAGGACAGGGCCCCCCCCCACAGGGGCCACACTTCCCTCTCTGCAGGGAGCGGTGTCCGTGCGTCTGGATCGCTGGCCCCACACCTGCCCATTCGCAGGTGGCTCGTGGGGCCCGGTGCCCGCTCCTCACCTGCCCAAGGCCCTGGGGTCCCAGGAAGGCCCTCAGCCCCGCTGCTGGCAGGGGCTCCAGGCCAGTAGCAGGGGGAGGGCCACTGACCAGCCAGACCAGGCTGAGCCCCGCTGGGCCTCCCAGAGCCACCTGTCCTCCCGCCTTCGGCCCAGGGCCCCCCTGGCGGACATACAGGGCCCCCTCCGTCCCCAGCCCACAGAAGTCCACCCTCCCACAGAGGGCTGGCTAGTTTCCTCCGGAAGGCTGGTCAGGACCTCTGCCTCCCCGGACCAGCCGAACCAAGCCCCTGTAGTCTTTAAGCTCCCCCAAAACTGTGGCAACAGTGGGGCCGCCCAGGCCCCCCATGACCAGCACCCAGTCGGCCGCACCCCACCTGAGTCCAAACCAAGCTCAAACCAGGCCCTTCTGCGGCTGCACACACCCTCCCGCGTGCGAGGACCGCCCCACGCCACCGAGACCACTCCCGGGACCAGGGCAGGCTGCTGCGGGGGTGCCCCCCGGCCAGCCCAGAGCCGCTCCAGGCCCCGGCTCACCTGCGGGCTCCGGGGCCTCCCGGGCAGGCGCCATCGCCAGCACGATGTCCACGGCCCAGTTCAGGTGGAAGGCCACGTCGTCCAGGGGGAACTGCCGGCAGTACAGCCACTCGCCGAACTCCGTGACGCAGTCCACCTTCTGCCACTCGCTCTCTGGCTTCTTCGGGGCGGACAGAACCGGGCCGTGAGGACGCTGCTGCTGCTGCTGCTGCTTCGCGTCCCGCCCGGCGCCCAGGGGTCTGCAGCGCGCAGCGGCCTCGCGGCTTCGCCCCCCAGAACGCACACCCCCCCCCCCGTCTGCGCTCGCCCCAGCGGCCCTCACTGGGCTGCAGCGAGACCGGTGCCAGCACAGCCTCCACGGGCCTCCTGCTCCGTGGGCACGCCTGCCAGCCCCGCCACGCCGGGCAGGCTCCGAGGCCCCGCCGGCCTCCGTGGGCTCTGTTGTCACCCTCTCCGCTCCGGTCCCCGGCACAGGGACCAGCGGGCCTCTGCGGCCCTGCCCAGCGGCCTGTGTGGCGAGCAGCCGCAGGGCCGGGCCTGGCCTGGCCGAGCACGGACGTCCCGGGATGGAGCTGCCCGCCCTTCCCTGGCCTCATGGCCCCACCCGCAGCCTTCGCCCCACAGCTCACAGGTGGAGGGGGCGGGAAGGAGGGGCAGGGGCGTGACCGGGGAATGCTGGGCCGAAGCCGGGGAGACGGGCAGGGGGGCCGCGGGACAGGCGGGGTCGGAGCGGAGGGAGTCTGGGAGGGAGACACGGCTGTGAGGAGGAGGAAGAGCAAGAGGTGGCCACAGGTCACACAGGCAGGGACAGGCGCAGCAGCAGGAGTGACGCTGGGCGGTGGGGACCTGGCAGGAAGGGAGGCGAGCCCTCGGGTGCCCAATGCAGGGGCGGTGGCTTGGACAAGAGAAGCAGGAGGGGACACGGGTGAGGGCCCTGCGGGGTCTGGAGAGGCTGGCCCTGGGGGCAGCAGGGCCCGCGTGCAGAGCCGTGGAGCCCGCCTGGCCTCCCAGCAGTGCAGGAAGGGCCTCAGGGTGGCCGGAGAGCCCGTGTCGGGGCGGGGAGCAGGGCTGCAAGTCCCTGGGGCTGCGGCTCCCGCCAGCGGTGGCTTCGAAGCTCCGGCACCGTGGGCACAGGCAGCAGCAGAAGAAACAGACAAGCGACAAGGGACATCAGCAGGGAAGGGGAGACGTGGAGAAAGGCAGCCCCGCAGCGCGAGAGTGCGAGCTCACGCAGGGGCGTGGAGAGGGACCTGTGCGCACAGGCACGCTGGACGCGGCAACCAGGCACCCGAGACCAAACGCAAACACTGACCGTCGGCACAGGCGCTGCCCCGCCGAGCAGAGACAGGTGGCCGACGGCGCGTGGAAGGATGCGGGTCGCGCAGCCGCAGCACAGCCTGCACCGGGGATTGGGGAGCCGCAGCGCCGGCTGCTTGGGGGACAAGTCGGATCTCCGCACTCGGTGGGCAGGAGCGCAAAGCGGCACGGCCGGGGTGGGGCCGCCCGGCTGCCCTCCGAGTTCACACGAGGCCGCCCTGTGACCCGGCAGCCCCGCCCCTAGGAGCACCTGTCCACGCAAAACCGTGTCCCGTCTCGGCCGCGTAAGGACACCGAGTCTAGGCCAGACCGCACATGCGAAGGCGGTCCATCGGATGACAGTGAAGCCGAAAGGTTCCTGACGCCCGGTGACACTGCGGCCGTGACCGCGTGACCCCAGCACAGCGCAGCCCTCGCGTGTGTGTGTGCGTGGTGACGCTGCCCACTGTACCAAAAGCAGCCCCTGCACCCGTGCACGCAACGGGGTGCTGATCCCCGACGATGAATGTGGGGTCGCAGGTCGGTGCGTTCACTCCTCGTAACTGCAGGGCGCGCTCGCCGCTTGGAAGAAGGGTTTGCCGAGACTGACACGCGCCCCCCGCGCCCCGTCTTGTGGGCCCACACATCTCTCCATGGCGTCGTTTTTCCTGGGTTCCTCGCTCGCTGCACGGCCGGCAGCCCAGGTGTGCGTAGGCCCCCAGTATCCAACGCCCGCACCCGCACAAAACCGCCCACCGACGCTTCTCTCAGGCCACGCCCCCGGGAGGCGGCGCCTGACCCTGACGAAGGTCCACAGCGGCTGCAGACGGAAGCAGCGCCAGTGCCCGTCGCCAGCACGTCGGTGCCCTCGGCGGCACGACTCAGCCGTGGAAGGGACGCAGGGCTGGCACAGCCGCCACCCCGCGAGCCCGGAGCCCGTGCTCGGGAAAGGAGCTGGTCGCAAAGGACGCGTCTGGTCGGATGGAAAGCCCGGGTCACGCAAACCCGCAGAGCCCCAGAGGGGGCGGGGCGGGGCCTGCAGCTGGGGCGGGGCGGGGCCTGCGCGCCGAGGGTGCTGGGTGTCCCGCCGCGCGGCCCCCAGGCTTCACTGCCGCACGTGCCGGGCCCCCGAGAGGGAAGGGCCACAGAGGTCAGGGACTGGGGGTCTGCAGGGACCGAGGGCCTCTGCAAACAACCCCGATGGCCGCCTGCTCCAGCAGGGACCCCGCAGCTCTCTCTGGCGGAGGCCGATCCACACTGCCTGGTCCCGGAGAACCCGGCAAGGCCATCCCCGCGGGAGGACTCGGCCTCTGGTGCCAGGAGCAAAGGGACCGTGGGCCTCGGCACCGACCCCGAGGCGTGAACCACCCAGAAACGGCAGAGGCCGTGCGGGACCCACAGCATCCGGCCCGGCCCGCGGAGGCCCCGGCTCCCGAAGGAGAGCGCTCTGCTGAGCAGAGAACCTCCCGGCGCCCGTGCGGGGCCTGTCTGGGCCGACGTCTTTGTCCTGAGGCAGGTCCCACCTGCTCTTGCCTCACTCGAGGCGCCCGCCCTCCCCCTGCTGCCCCCCGCCCGGTGCATCCAGAGGAACCTCTGTCGGCTTCTTGGGGGGACGTCGTCCTCAGATCCCAGAACCCAGAGGCTGCAGGGCCTCCGTCCTCCATAGCCTCAGGGCCTCGGCGCCCCGCCCCCCGCCCGCCCCCGCAGGGCCCAGGCCCAGGCTCCCACACACACACACACACACACACACACACACCGCCCCTCGGGCTGGAGAGGGTGCCCTCTGCTGCCCTCGACCAGGGAGCAAAGACTGGCTTCCCCCGGGATCGCCTCCGGGCGGCCGGGGCGCACCTGCAGGGCTTGGATTGCGTTCTGGTAGCAGGTCAGCTCCCCATAGACGTTCTTCGAGTTCAAGGCCAGGCGGTGCCACATGTGGGCCACGTAGTCCTCACTCTCGTCCTTGAACTTCTGCATCTCCATCGTGTAGTTCAGGCCGAGCCTGGCCTTCACGAGGACCATGTGCTTGAAAATCAAGCTGAAGAAAAGCAAAAGGCACCTTACTTCTCGAGCCGTTGGGAACATTTAAATTCGTGTGATTCGCCCAGAACTGAAGTATTTGTCCGTTTTCCCCCTTACAAAGACACAGCAAGACCGGGGCTTGTTGGAACGCGACTCCCTTGGGATTTTGTGCTGTGGCGGAATGTCACATCTTAGTTTTCGACTGTTGTGCGTGTGTGCGTGTGTGTGTGTGTGTGTGCGCGCGCGCGCTGTAACCCCCCTCGAGCTACTTGTGCTGGACTCATCGTGCGGACGCCCCAGAGAAGGGGCGGTGGGGCAGCCCAGGCCCGCGAGCTCAGAGGACGCAGGGGCGGCGGGCAGCCCCGAGGGGCTCGGCGCACTCACAGGCGGTGGGCCGTCCGCGGCAGCACCTGCACGGCCTCCTCCAGCACCTTCAGGCCGCCCTCCCAGTCGCCCTGGTCCGCGTGGCAGTGGAACAGCACCCCGTAGAGGGCGGCGCGCAGACTCAGGTCGTCCTCGGCCCCTGCGGGGACAAGACGCAGAGCAGGGCGGGGGTGGGGCGGGGGCGGGGCGCCTCTGATGGCCCCGCCCCCCGGGCGGCCCCAGCGGGCCGCAGAGCCTCAGGAGGAAGCGGGGAGACAGCCGGGCGGAGCCGACTCCGCCCCCGCAGACCCCAGGAGCCTGGGCGGGCTCTGAACGCGCCTCGCCGCCATTCGCATTCTCGTCGGTGCGTTTCCCGTCATTCTCTCCATCTAAACCCTCCTGGTCTGAACTGTGCCGCTCGGATTGCACGAGTGTCTAGAAAAGGATCTTCCACAAAATCTCCGCTAGGCTCTCTTCCACTCTCCGCTTTCTCCCTGGAACCCGAGTGCTAAAGCTACCGCACCGTTTAGCCTGTGCGCTTGTTTTCCGGCACACGGACCGGCGTGGGCGGGCCGCGGCTCTGTCCCGCGGGGCCCACGGGGCTGGCTGCCCACCGCAGCTCCCGCGTGACTGGACGCTCGCTGCCGCCTGCCCTCTCCCTGCAGCCGCGCCGCCCACGGAGCCGCTGGCGCTCAGTGCTCGCCCAGGTGTCCGCCTGCACGTGGTCGTGCGCCGCTCCCTCTAAGTCCGGTTTACGTCTCCAGATGAGACTGCCGTCCTGGGGGACCACGGCTCCAGCCCCAGCGCTCACACCCCAGCGCACACGGAGCTCTTACATCAACAGCACGGTGAATTTCTAGCGGATAATCATTTTTTCCCTTTAAACACGGACTCTAAAATTGTTCTAAGGTATTTTATAGGAGCGTGTCTCTGCCTTCCTACGGAAGTAGAATATGACTCACCCATCAGAATAACCCAGAGGCCAGTTTCCGGGGAGTTGGGAGGCCAGGGAGGGCCCAAGTGGCCCTGGACAAGGGGACCCTCGGGCTCTGGCTCCTTGTGCACAGTGGGGACCCCACGAGGTCCCCTGGAAGGCCCTCGCGGTGCCCGCCACACCCTGGAGGCTGAGCTGTCCCCTGGGGTTTTTGCCGCGATCGCGCTGGGCGGGTGCGGGCGGTGGGGCTGCAAGCACAGCGCCCCGCCCCCACCCAGCAGGCTGTGCTCTGGCCCGGTCTACACACCTGGGAGGAAGGAGCCTTCCGGGGTGCCTCCGCCCTGGAAGTCCGCGGTCGGCCACTGGTGCAGGAGCAGCACGCTCCCCGTGTCCTGCGTGGAGACAGGCAGACGCAGCCCTGAGGGTCCCGTGCGTCCTCCCACCACCCGTGTCTCGCCCCGCTCAGTGTCTGATCACAGTGACCGCCACGGCGTTTCCGGAACACCGAGGCCCGCTGCACCCGTGAGAACTGGCCATCCGGCAGGGGCCAGCTCCGCGAGAGCACAGTGGGCCGCCCCCGTCCACGGCGCCCTCAGAGACAGCGGTACCCAGGGGCGTCCACCGCTTCGAGCTGGCGGGGCCGAGCCCGCGAGGAGGAACGCAGGGGTGCCCGGGGAGCCGTGCCCGGACGGGGGTTCCCCCTGGGGCGCGCCCACCACGTCCGTCCACCCTCGGGGACGAGGACAAGGACAGACTGACCCCGGACAGCAGGACCAAGGGCACAGGGAAGACTGGACAAGAGAGAAAGAAAACACGAAGAAAATCCACGAAACCAAAAGTCGGCTCTTTGAAAAGGAGCGACGAAACAGACACGTTTTTAGCTGGGGGGACGAGGCGGGAAAGGAAAGACAGGACAGCACAAACCGGAAGGAGGGGGGCACTTCCCTCCCACCCGGCCCCGAGAGGCGAGAAGGGCCTGAGGGAAGCCCACCCCCAGCCGGGCGCTGGCCGACCCGACGGCTCAGAGGAAATGGAAAACCCCGGAAACGCAGAAGACGACGCAGAGAATCGCAGGAACCTCGGACGCGCCCGCACTGCGGCGGCGACAGAGAGGAGCCCTGGACCCGACACTCACAGGCTCCGCGCCAGCCCCCCGCCCCCCCCACCCCGTCCCGAACACACAGAAACGGAGTGGGGGGGGCGCTCCGGCCCCTCCTGTGAGGCCGGACGGGCTCTCAAGGCGCATCCGGACGGAGGCTTCGCAGGAGCAGCACGGAGCCGACGTCCTTTACCGATGCAGATGCAACGCAAACACACCCTCCGTGAAAGAGCAGCAGAGGACGCCCCACAGCACAGCGGAAATGCCAGGCACCGGGACCCCGGGGACGGCGCCCTGGGCGCACGGGGCGTGAGACCCGAGAGGAGCCATCGGCGCGAAGACCCCGGCGCCACCGGAGTGAGGGGGAAGCCGCAGGGTCTTCCCAGCCCCCGGAGAAGAGGTGTCCGACCGAGCCCAGCCTCCCACTGGCACTCGGGAGGGCCGGGAGGGCGGGGGGCTCCCCGCACAGCGAGGGCGGGCAGCACGGACCGCAGCAGACATAGCGCTGGGCGGCCACAGACCGAGGCCTTCCCTCGGGGCCGGGAGCGACACTGGGCGCCCAGCCCCGCCGCTGTGGCCCACCGCCGACAGAAGTTCCGGCCAGAGGCGAGACCACACGGACACGGGCCCGTGGAGGGCGCTCGACTGCGTCCGTCTCTGAAGGAACGAACGTGGGGACCCCAGCGAGGCGGCCTCCTTATCGGCCGCGGCCCCAGAGGCGGAAAACCACAGGTGGGGGCGGGACGGGGAGGAGCGGGGCCCAGCTCTGCGGGTGGGAACGAACATGGGGCGGCCACCCCGGGGACAGCCGGGTGGTTCCCGCTGAGGTCGACCTCGGAGCCCCTCAGAGGCCAGCGGTTCCGTCCCCCCAGGGCAGGGGACCCGACGCCCCCCCAGCAGGGCCTGGGTTCGCGCACTGCGGGCACGGCACCAGGGTGCCCCCCACCCTGGGCGGGCGGGTCCCACGGGGTCTGCACACCCCGAGGAGGAGGAGGAGGGCGACGCCGACCCAGGCTCCCACGGGGAGGGGACTCGGGGGCACCGTCATCCTCAGTGAGGGAGGGTGAGGGCTGGGGACAGGGTGGGGGCGGGGAGGGCGCCAGCCAGGGGAGACCGGCCCAGCCCAGTGGGGGCCTCGCCCAGCAGCTGCCGTGGTTCCTTCCTGAGTGGATTCGGCAGACCTGCCCCCACCCCACTCGGCTCCCCTTCCAGAGCTTTCCAGGCAGGGGCGGGGTTCTCTGGGAGGGGCGGGGAGGTCAGAGCTAAGCCCGGAGCTCAGCCAGGAGCTGCCTACACTGCCGGGCCCCCCATCTGCACGGTCCCACGGGGCCAGTCTGTCCGTGGGGACCTCGCCCCGTTTCGGAGGAGGAGCCGAGAGGCGGCCGGCCTCGGGGCCCAGGAGCCTGCCCCGCCGCACCTGCTTCTTGGCCTCCACCTTGTTGATGACGGCGACGATCCTCTGGATGGCGCTCTTGGCTTCCTTCCTGCTGGCGGTGGAGGACAGCAGCGGCAGCTGGCTGTTCCAGTAGTGCCGGGCGGCCAGCATCACCAGCGGGCTGCTCTGCGCGATGCCCCCGAACCTGGAGAGGGCGCGACCCAGCATGCTGCAGACCCCGGGCACCCGCGCCCCCCGGGCCCGCGGAGGGCAGGCAAGGATGGCACCCAGCTCCGCAGGACGTGCTCCTGGGCGTCCCTGCTGGGCGCCCCGGGCCACGGACCCCCGCGGGCCCCCTCCCCCTTCGGTCACGGGCCACTGCCAAGTCCCTGCATGCAACACGCGCCCCAGACACAGGGCCACCCGCGACGCACCTCACGCTCTCCGTGAACGCCTTGGCAGCCACCAGGCGCAGCTGCTTCCGCCCCTTCAGGTTCTCCACGATGCTGCGGCCCTGGATGCAGGTGGCGGCGCTCAGCGCCTCCGCGGCCAGCTGCTGCTGGACCCTGCGGGCAGAGCGCCCTCAGCACGCGGTTGGGGCCGGGGCGGGGCGGGCGGGCATGCGGTGCAGGAGGGGAGTGAGCCCGGGGCACCCACAGCGGCCTGCTGAAAGCCCCCCACAGAACCGCCAGGCAGCAGCACCCGGCACCTTTTACTTTGTTTTATTCTTGTTCTGCGGGGTCGCTCCTTAGAGCAGAGGGCAGCGGGACAAAGGACGGGCTGAGGACAGAGGCAGCAACGGGAGGGAGCCCAGCAGCTGCTTCGGCCCCCTGCGCAGCCGGACAAGAGGGGCCCTGGAGGCCGACGGGCTTGGGGGTGCAGCCTGAGGCGAGCTGCCGCTGCCCGCCGCGCACGTGGTTGCAAGTGTCGTGGGTCCCCCAGAGCGTAAGACCCCCGTGGCGGGGGGAGGAGGAGGGGAGGGCAGGGCCGGCGCCCCAGCGTCTCCTGACGTCTCCATGACTGACCTGTCGGGCAGCACAGGCCCCTGGGAAACCCCGGCACTGGCCGGGGCCCAGTCCTGGGCCGTCCCCTGGGCGCCATGTCCAGGGCAGCAGGCAGCGGTCCCCGCTCCCTGGGTGCTGGCCAGGCCGAGACACACTGGACACTGCGCACACGGAGGTGCCACCCCGTCCAGCGCTGGATGGGTCACACGCCCTCAACGTAGCTCGGGGGGCACCTCCCGACTCTGAGGGACACTCCTGGGGACCCGCCCTGCCTGGCTCTGGGGCCCTGAAGCCGGGAGCTGCCTGCAGCGTCTGTGGGGACCTGACTCGGGAGTCGGCCGCTCCGGGGCGGGCGGGGCCCTGGCCCAGACGCCGAGACTCGCACTCGCTCCTTCCTCTGGCTCACCGAGTTCTTTCCATGGCCACGAGCGGAGGCCGGAGCCCCCAGCTCCACTGCCCCAGCACCGGGTCAGGGGGCAGACAGCTGGGACGGTTGTGTTCCCCCTGATCCGACCCGCTGTCCCCGACCAGATGCCTCAGCCAGGGGGCGGGGCCGACCCCTCCCACCCTCGGCCTCTCGACCGAGCCTCCCCATGGAAACGGCCGCAGCGTCTGCCTGGCCCTGGTTTCCTGTCCAGCGGGGCAAACCGAGCGTTTCAGCCGCCGTGTCCACACCGGGGCCGATGAGGCTCCGCCCCTCGCCCTCCTGGGGTCCTGAAAGGCCCCCTCCATCCCCCCCCTTCTCCTTCCCCAGGTCCTCGCCTGCGGTTTGGGAGCCCCGCCCCCGCCCCCGGCCGCCTGAGTCTTCCTAGCAGTGCCCGAGGGGCCGCGGCACTGATCGCCAGCGGCCTTCACTGGGTTCACTCCGACCCATGGGCCACATGAGAGCCAACGAGGGACGTCCCCGCGTTTCCCCCACCACCACCCTTGGGTGATGCCTCTGTCGTCACACGCCTCCCTTCTGCGCTTGCTCCTCCCCCGCAAGAGCGTGTGGGTCTCACTGTGACCGTGCCGAGGGGCAGCCCGGTCACGGCCACGCCGCCCTCGCTGCTCGGGCCACGCCTCCCCGGCGTCTCCTGTCCTGGCGTCTCCTGTCCAGGGTCCAGTGGGGCGGGGCCCTCTCAGCGCCAGCGACTCGGAACACGGCTAGATCTTGCCTTCGGTTCTGCAGGCGGTGCTCGGTGGGCAGAGGGCCCGGACTGCCGAGGCTTCTCCCGTTGCGTGGAATGTGTCCAGGCCCCTCCCGCCCTCCCCCCTCCCCCAGGTGTGGCCGCAGCAATCCCGCCGCAGAGGAAACTGGCCGGGTTTTCCCGGGGTCCCTCCCGCCGGCCCTTCCTTGAAAACGCTGGGTCTCGGGCTGCTGTCGACTCGGCTGGAAACCATCTCAGCCGCCACATCCCCGAGTGTGCGCGTCTCTGCCCCCCCCCCAGCCCCCCCCGCTGCCTCTGTCCCCCCCCCCGCCACCCCCCGCTGCCTCTGCCCCCCGGCACGCTGGCTGTCTGCTCCTCCTGCGTCCACTTCCACGGCCCGTGGGCTGGTGTCATTCCAGGACGGAGACGTCGGACTTTTCGGCCCCGGAATCCCCACTCGGCCCTTTACTAGGGTCTCGCTTCGTTGTTGAAATTCCCGCCTGCGCAGTGACTTGTCCTGAGAAACAAGCCGCTCTGCGTCCCGGGCGGCGGCCTCGGCACCGTGTCGGGTCTGTGGCCGGTTCTCTCCGGGCACGGCCGGCTCCCAGCCCAGCTCTGCCGCCCGCCAGCTGGGCGACTCGGCCGCGGCCTCGGTTTGCCGCGTGGAGAGAGCTCTTCCGAGGAAAAAAACTGGCGACGTGGGAAGACCCCCCGAGGGCGCCTGCCTGTGCCCCAGGCACGCCCAAAGGCCCCGGCCACGCGGGTCAGTGAGGTCGACTTTCAGGAGACAGGTTCAGGCCCTGGCTGGGGTGGCTCAGTGGATTGAGCACCCGCCTGTGAACCAAAGGGTCGCTGGTTCGATTCCCAGTCAGGTCACAGGCCTGGGTTGTGGGCCAAGTCCCCAGCAGGGGGCGCGCGAGAGGCAACCACACAGTGATGACTCTGTCCCTCTCTTTCTCCCTCCCTTCCCTTCTCTCTAAAAATAAATAATCTTTTTTAAAAAAAGGAAACAGGTTCAGGAAGTTGGCTGAAGAGAAGAACCTTGAGGAAAACCACATCTGCTGCAGAAACACTTACACCAGCAACAAGCTTTTAAAAGCCTCACCTTGGAAAGTAGAGGAAAGAGGCAGTCAGTCACTGACCAGCTGAGCGGAACCGTGAGCCCGAGCAAACGGCCAGAAAACGAGGCGCCCGTGGCCGCCCTGGGCCGTCCCGGGACCCGGGGCCGCAGCGGCCTCGGCAGCCCTCGGGCCGGGAGGGGGCGGGGAGAGGGTGTAATCACATCGCCCTTCAGTTTCGTCCTAATGTGTCTGGGACGCCTGCTGCCTTCTCAGAATCGGGGTGGGCGCGGCTGTTGGGAAGGGCCGGGACCCGTGCGCCCTCTCCGCCGCCGTGCCCCCACACTCTCCGCTCGAGAGGCCCCCCCACGGCCTGAGAACCCTGCTGAGCGCGGCTCTCCGGGGCCCGGGGGGGCGGGGCTGCTGAGTGGGGGCCGGGCCAGCAGCTGGTGCTCCGCCCCCTGTGACCTCTGCACGGGCCGCCCCGCCCACCGACGCGTGACCACCAGGGTCCTCCGCGGCCCCCCTGAGGAGCTTGGGGGAGACGGGGAGGCGGCCACACCGCCGCCGGACGACGCAGGAGTCGGGGGCCGGGGAGGCGACTCACGGACTGAGCTGCCGCAGGCACCGCACGCCCATCTGCACGGCCTTCTTCGCGCACGCCATGGTGGTCTCGTGGTCGCGGGCGGCGTAGGCGAAGTGGCTCAGGCGGGCCAGGGTCTGCAGCTCCACCAGGGGCTCCGCCCAGGTGCACGCGGAGGCCATCTTCACCAGCTGCCCCAGGCGGAGGCCCAAGCTCAGCGGGGGTGTCCGGCCCCCTTCCTCGCCCGCAGCGCCGGGCGCCGTCCGCTGGTGGCCGAGGGCCGGCGAGTGACGTCATCCCAGGCGGACCCGGCCGGGAAAGGCCGTCCCCCCCACCAGCAAAGCCGGCAAGGCCGAGTGGCCACATCACCGGCCGCAAACCGAGGCCCAGGGTCGGGATCGGCTGCTGGGTGACAGGAGCCCCAGGCCCACCCTGCCCCGTGCCCCAGGGACACCCTGCCCCGTGTGGGGCCACCAAGGGAGCTCCAGGGAGGGGGGGAGGCTGCCGTGCGGAACACACCCAGGGCCCTGAGGGGATGGCAGGTGCAGGGAGGAGGCGGCCACCACACAGGCTGGCCCCCAAGGCCATGCCCTCTGCCCCCCGACCTGCCCCTGCACAGCCGAGTCGGGGCACGTGGCCTCAGGCTGCGGATGGGGCTCTGCTGGGCCCCCCCTCCCCGGGGCACTCGAGCGGGACGTGCGGCAGCACCCACCTGGGCCAGGGGCGGCACGGTGAAGTCCATGAGGCCCAGCCCGTTGCAGGAGTACATCTCCAGGGCGACGAGGACTTTGGTCACAGAGCTGATGTCCTCGCTGGCGCTCTGGGGGGCGGGGAGCAGAGAGTGTCCGTGAGCCCCAGGGCCCCCCAGGGGCTGGGACACGGGGACATCGGGACCCCCGTGAAACGCCCATGCCGCGCCGGTAGCCGGGGCTCTTTGTGTAACAGTCTGTCTCCCGGGGACCTCGTTCTGTCGCGAGGCAGGGGGCACGGCAGCCGGACAACTGGGCCGACCCGGCTGCCGGCAGAGGGTGGGCGCCAGCAGGGCGGGACGGGCTCCGCTGGGTCCTGGATCGGGCCGCTCGGACGCAGGCCCCCACTGCCTCGCCGGTCTCCCTTGCTGCCTGTCCTGGCCCCAGCCAGCGCCCATGGGAGCCTCCTGGTGTCTCCCTCTGTGGCCGTGTAGACCCTGGCCTCTCCCCTCTGGGTCCCCGCTTGCTCCCCCGGACGGCCCCTCGGGCAGCCTTGAGTTCACAGCTCAGGGTCCCCCAGTGCCCCCTCTGGCCGGAGTGCGCCTTCACTTAAGGCCACAACCGTGAGCGTCTCCAAGGGTGGCCCGGGGGCCCAGAGGCTCGGTGGATATTTAGAAGAGTGTCCAGGGGGCTGGGGGAGGGGCAGACACTGTGGCCTGGGCAGGGGGCGAGGCCGGCACAGTGACCTCCACGGGAACAGCCCTTCGTGGAGGGAAGTGCCCGTCATAGGAAACAGCGCTACCCTGCGGCTGGCAGGCCCCAGGGGCGGGGATGGGTGGAGGCCCTGCCCCACCGGCCACACCTGGTCGTCCACGCCCAGCCGGGACCCGATCTGCTGCTGCAGCAGCTGCTTGGCCTTCACCCAGGTGGCGATGAGCTGCTGCCGGGCCTCTGTGGGCACCGTGTCCTCGGGCACCGCCCCATTGGTCAGGCTCAGGGCGAACTCGCAGACCTGGAACGGAGGTGCACCGGTCCCGGGAACCCGAGTTCCGAGGGGCGGCCCCCGGGCGCTGACCGCGCGTGGCCGGGCTCTGGTCCACACGAAGGGGCGGCTGAGCCACACGCCAAGCCTGGGTCCACCCTGGCGCGGGCCGACACCGCCTCCTTGCCTTCGGAGGGATGCCCGCCCCCCGCCCCCCGCCAGCGCCCACTTCCCCGGCTGGACCTCGGCCCGTTTCACCCCCGCGGCTGCCTCCCGCACCCGCAACCCCCGCCGTGGCGGGGGGGCCGCACCTCCACGGCGGTCCTGACTTCGGAGGCGGCCTCGGAGTCCAGGGGGCTGTGGAAGGCGTTGGGCCGCACCGGCCGCTTGGCCTTCTCGGGCGTCTGGGCCGGGATCCAGCCGAGGATCAGGCCCCGGGCCAGGGCGTTGCAGAGCGCGGCCAGCAGCGCGGGGTCGCTGGAACGGGGTGGGGGGCGGCGGGTGAGGGGGGCCTGTGTGCCTGCAGCCCCTCCGGGCGCCGGCGTCAGAGGCCGTGGCACCAGCCTCGCGCCTGCGGGAGAGGGGACGGCCGCCCTCTCCGTCCTCCCCCCCCGACTGTAAAAACTGCCCGTCACACGTCGCTACGTTCTGAGTCGCCCTCGGACTCCTGCCTCAGCACCCAGTGCAAATATCTGACCCTCAACGCTCAGACTAAGAGCCAAACCAGGGAAAACACAAGGAGACGAGTTTTAAAGGTCCGTCCTGCTCAGATAAAACTGTGACCAACTGGAGTCGTCACATTTCCAGTCTGAGCGGCTGGGACCCTGGCCTCTCACGAGGCCCCGTCTGGGTGAGAAAGCACAGGGACCGGCTTTCGACGCCCGCCCCGCCCCCCAGCGAGGGGGCCACTCCCCTCCCCCGTCACCCTCGGTGGCTCGGGGATCCGAGAGCCCCCACCATCGCTCCGTCTGCTCCCGCCCCGGGCTCATCGACCCCCACACGCCGCCCGCAGCCCAGAGAGGGTGGGTGCCTGGCTCAGGGGCCACCGCCAGTAAAGGGGGCCCTGGGGTCGCGTGAGCAGCCCTGTGTGTGTCCCCCAGGCTTCCCCCGGCCTGTCCCCCCAGGCACCAGGTGACGGCGGCCCTGCCCTCCCTGGAAGGCCAGCGCTGCAGGACGGGGACCCACCCGTTGTGGCCGACGGCCTGGACGATGCTCAGGAGCCGGTACAAGGGGTCCACCAGCTCCTTCTGCCGCCCGGCGGCGATGAGGTGGTGGTTGTGGTTCAGGACGTAGACCACGGCGTTCTGCACGACCCAGGCCTCCTGCATCTCCTGCCCCAGCTCGGCCGAGCGCAGCCAGCTGCTCATGGCGTACTGCGACAGGCTCTCCACCCAGGTCCTGGCAGGGGGAAGCGGGGGGGGGGGGGCACGGGCCGGCTCTCCCCAGCTCCAGGCCTTTCCCAGCCAGCGGCGTCTGCCGGGGGGCCCCCGCACTACCAGGGCCACTGGCCCCGTCCCTCCTGGAGGACCCCAGACCCGCCCAGTTTCCCCCGTCCACCTCCTCACACCCCCCCGGGATGTCCCTCCATCCCACGTGAACACGAGACCCGCTCCCTCTGCCCTTGGTCCGCAAACCGCCCAGGCCTCCGGGTCTGGGAACACGGCCCTGACCACAGGCCAGCCTGGCCCCCTGGCCCCGCTGTGGCCACCCCGCGCACACGGGCCGCTCCGCTGAGGGCCATCGGGTCCCCCTCCGCCCCGTGCATGCGTGCGTGACAGCTGTGTCTGCCCGGGGACGGGGCGTGGAAGAGCCTTTCTGCGGAGCGTCTGGCAGCGCCCCGCGTGGGGGCTCCGCGCGGTCACTCTCCGGCACGTCCTCCTCCTCCGCTTCGTTTCCCAAACGCGAGCCCCTGAGCCCGAGGGCCATGCACGGCCCGGCCAGGGGTCCGATGGGGCCAGGCCCTCGTTCCGACCCTCCACCACTCTGAGCGCCCGGGGCCCCAGGCACAGGTGCCCCCCACCCCCGGCCCCGGCCCCACGTCACTCAGTCCCCGTCCTCAGAAGGGCCGAGTGTGAGGCCGAGAAAGGACGCGGACCCCCGTGCCAGGCACAGCGCCCCCTCCGGGGGCCCGTCTCCCGGACGGTCCACAGGGAAGGCCTCAACGCCCGCCCAGGGAGCTGTCGGGATGTGTCCCCCGCACACCTGGACGGGGCGGCGTTTCCCCGGGCGAAGTGGAGAGCTGCCCCACCCCGTCTCCCCACCGCGGACACGGCCCCTCAGGGCCCCTCAGGTCTCCCAGTGACGAGGGTGGTCGGGGTGGACGACGGGCCAGGCCTCACCCAGGACACCAGCCCCGTCCGCCCGCCGCCCCGTGCCCCACGGGTACGCAGAGCCGGCCAGGCCCGCCGCCCACCTGTACGTGACCCACTCCGAGTTGTCCTCGGGCAACTCCAGCGTGTAGCCAGCCGCGTGCTGGCTCAGGTCCTCGGGGGGGCTGGGGTGGTCGTTGAGCCCCACACCTTCCGACCACAGCAAGTGGACGGTGGCCTGCACAGCCAGGCGGGCGCAGAGGTCACGGGGCGGGCCCCAGCGCCCGGCCCGACTCGGAAACTATCTCTAGGGAAAACTCCTACCGGCACACAGCGCCCTTGGACCTCTCCGTCCCCGCAGAAAACCCCCAGGCACCCCCCGCGGCCGCCCCGGGGGAGCCCGCCCGCGCCCGGGACGCACCTCGGCGTTGATGAAGCCCACCTCCGCGAACTTCCGCAGCAGCGCCGGCGAGCCCGGCACCCGCAGCAGCGCCAGGGACTGGGCCCTGGACTCGTGCCCCAGGCTGTCCCCGGCCCGCCGCCTCCTCCCTGCGGACGGCGGCGCTTCAGACGCGGCACGGAGGGCAAGGCAGGGCTGCGCCCCCCAACCCCCGACTCCGGCCGGAGCCCTGCCCCTGTGCCCTGCCCCCTGCCCGCAGGCTCCCACCACCGGGGTCTCGGCGCTGTCACTCAAAACAGGCCCCTCCCCTTTTCTCCGCCCCCTGGCCACCGCCAAGGGCCTGGGACAGCCAAACAAGAAGGCGGTGCAGGGTGCCAGACTCGGGGGACGGTCCTGGTCGGCCGTGACGGTGGCCGGGCGGCCCTGTGGTCGCCCTCGGCCACCGCGAGAGGCCTCGGTGGGCGGCGGCCAGCATCTGGGAGACGCCGTGGGCTCCGAGGCGCGCCAGGCCCACGCCCCCCCACGGGGACCCCCCTCCCACCCAGACGGAACGCCGGCGCCCCGGCGGCCACCCCCGCCCCCCCGGCACGCACCTCGCTTCATCCGCGAGAGCTTCTTGGCCTTGACGCTGTCGTAGAGCAGGCAGAAGCGGCAGGCCGCCCGGCACACGTCCCACACGCCTTGCTTCCGGGCCACCTTGGCGAGCTCCGCCCAGATCTGCACTCTGCTCCCGGAGACCCCGGCGGGGGGCCCGTGAGGAAGGGGCCCCAGCGGGGCTGCCCCCCAGGGGTGTGAGGAGCAGCTGGGAGACGACCCACGCCCTCTGGCTTGCAGCCGGGGTTGGGGCAGCAGGCGGCCCTCCCAGGGTGAGGCCGCCCCAGGGTCAGGGGTGAGAGGGCAGGGGCGGCTCTCCGGGCCCCGTCGCTGTGACGGCCGAGAAGCGCCCACCCCCATCCTTCCCCTGGGACAGGCCGCCCCGCGTCCCAGAATGAGCCGTTGTCCTGACCCCACACGGGGCGCGGGTGTCCACCTGGCCGTGCCTGGCCGCGCGTGCCCGGGTCCCCACTCACCTCTCCTTCTCGTTCTCGCTCCCCAGACGCCGCAAGTGCCCGTTGGCCTTCTCCACGCTGACCATGTGGTGCCGGGCCCTGGCGAAGAGCGGGGCGAAGCGGCTCCTGCTCTTCCCGGTGGAGACTGCGGACAGAGGGGCGCATGCGGCCGAGGCTGACGTCGTCCCGCGAGGGGCCTGAGGAGGGCAGGGACCGCGCCTCCCCTGTCTGGGGCCGGGCGGTGTCGTCGGGCGCAGCCACACGGCACGGCCACGCCAGGACTCGGGCGGAGAGGGGCTGCGGCTGTGGGCGGGCCACTGCCAGGCCCCCGGCGCGGCCGTGGTGCAGGGTCAGCCTGGCCACCCTGCCGCTCGGTGCCGTGGTGGCGCTGCCCTCTGGCCGGCCGCTGCCGCCCCCATCTGGAGGCTGGGTGTCGACCGGCCTGGTGTTGGAGGCTGTTCCTCCCGGCACAGAAGAGCAAACTCAGTGCTCAATGCCACCCCAGGCGCCAGCGGGCCGCCTGGCACGGCGGCCCTGACGATGCCACCGGCCTGGGCTGAGAGGCGCCCACTGCCCGTGGTGGGCGGCAGCTGTGGCCCATGCTGCCCGCAGGCTGGCGGTTCGCCTCCGCACGGAGCACCCTCACCCTCAGGAGCCAGCTCCCCAGCCCCAGGGACGCCCCACCCGGCAGGCTCCACCACTGCCTCCCTGGGCGCCCAGCAGCGAGCCCTGCGGGAGGTGCACGAGAGGCACCCAGGCGCGTCCTGCTGCAGCGGCGGCGGCGGGACACACGGGCGGCGCGAGGCGTCACCCATCTGGTCCTTCGCCCCCCCCCCCCAACCAAGGATCCTGCAGGAGGGCAGCAGGGACCCCAGGGCTCCTGCCTTTGTGCAAACGGGGTCACGTCAGCTGAGAGCCGCCGGCCAGGGGCAAGACCAGACGGGGCCCTGGGGGGACCTCAGGAGGGGCCCAGAGGGCGGGCGCAGCCCTGCCATCCCCACGGGGGCAACGGGCGTGGGGGTGCTCCCGGCGGGAGTGATCCCATCCGAGGGAGGGAAGGGCCCGGCCTCGCAGACGCGCAGAGCAGCCCGGCCCCGTCGTGCCGCGGGTGGAAGCTGCCCCCAGAGCCCTGATGAGACCCCATCCCAGCCGCGGGTGTGACCCGACTGCAAGATGGGGCCTTCACCCGGTGCCGGGGAGACAGCGCAGTCGTGAGGGCGGGCCCTCCCCGTGGTGGCCGGTGTGCGTCAGTGCAAACCCAACACAGACACAGACACAGGCGGGTACAAGGGGGGACAGTGGTGTCAGGGTGCAGCCGGGGCAGGGGTCCCGCATGCAGCCCCGGTGGAAAGGCCCCCCAGCCCCCAGACTGAGCCAGGAGCCTGGGTCCCGGCTGCCCTCGGGGCACCTCGAGGTGGCTGCCAGGCCAGTGGGTGTAGAGCCAGCCTCCAGGGCCCACAGGCCACACGTCGGGGCTGCTGGGCGGAGGCCAAGGGCAGCCCGGTTCTGACCTTCCCGGGGGCCCAGCTCGATCCCCCCCGCCCCCCGAGGGCAGGCCAGGGCTCCACCCCACAGCAGCAGGGGCCGAGGGGCTGGGGAGGGCGGCCGCACCCACCCTTGGCCTCATTCTCGCTGTCCAGCACGATCTGGAAGGCGTCGGGCGCCAGGGCCAGGCCCGCGTTCACCAGGAGGGCCCGCTTCTTCCGGACACTGTCCTTGGGGGTGGCTTTCTTGGCCTGCGGTGGGGGGAGAGTGGGTGTGGGCCCAGCGTCCTCAGGCTCGGAGGCGGCGCCGGGGGGGGGGGCCCGGGGGGCTCCATGGTGGCACCTGCTCGATGGCCATGGTGGCCTTGTCCTCGGCGCGCTCGGGGCTCTGGTAGAGCATGGAGCAGAGGTGCAGCCGGTTGAAGGCCGTCCGCAGCCGCTCCTGGTACAGGCCGGAGCTGTCCAGCCGCATGGCCTTGGTCAGGTGCTGCATGGCGGGCTCCAGCCGGTCCTCATCCTCCTCGATGTGGGCCAGCTCCCTGTGCACCTGGCAGCGCAGCAGGACCTCGAGGCTGCGGGCGCCCCACGGCGCAGCGTCAGGGGGACCCTCGGCGGCCCTGGCGCCCCACCCTGCCCCTCCTCGAGGACTCACACAGGGGACGGGGTGGGGGTCCCCGCAGGCCACAGGAGGCCTGCCCCCCCCAACCGAGAAGCAGCAGCGCAGAAACCCCGGGGTCCCTGCCGGGAGAGCTGCCGAGAGGGCGCGAGCAACGCCAGGGCCCTCCCCGCCGACCACCGGTGCCCTCACGTCACCCCACCCCGGCCTGGACGGCGGGGCTCTCGGGCAGCTCCCCGCTCCCTGCTGTCTCTGCACACGCCCGAGGCCCCCACACCGGCCCCCCACAGCCCCCGCACCCTGCGGGCCTGCGCCTGCCCAGCGTTTGCTCCAGCCTCTGTGGCCTCGGCTGCAGCCGCCCCATCTGAGCATAGCAGCCCCCCCGAGGCCCCTCCCTGCAGTCGGGGCCCAAATCCCAGGGCCCCGCTGCTGGCGGCCCACCCTCCTGGGCGACCCTCCACACCCCCCTTTCCCTGTCTGCAGCCCCGGTGCCTGTTCCCCAGCCTCCCTCTCGCTTACTTCTCTCTGAAAGTGGGGCCCTCACACCTGCTGCGCCCCCAGGGCTGAGTCCCCTTGTCTGCAGGGGTCGTCCGGCAGCTCCCTGTGCTGGGGACACCGTCACGGGCACCACTGCCCAGGCCCCCGGCAGCACGGAGCCTCCAGGGCCGTCCCCACCCCGCCCTGCTCGGCCGGCTCCTGCCCCTCTGCTCCGTCACCCCCCGCCTCCGCCCACGGGCTGTTCTCAGCGGCAGCAGAGCCATCGCGGACGCCCCTCCTCCGCCCTGGCTCTCGGACACCCACCCCCACTCAGGAGACCGCACAGCCCCAAGGCCGGGACAGGCTCCGGGTCCAGCCGTCTGTGGGGCTCTCCTCCCGGGCCTTCCTCCTCCCCAGTCCCCCCCCACACACACACACGCTGTCCAGTCTCTGATGAGGCCTCACAGCAGCCCAGAGGCTGACAGGGACCACCTGCCACAAGCTGCATTCCCCAGGGCCCCCTCCCCACCTCCTGCTACGAGGGTCTTCTCAGCACTTAGCTCGGCTGGCCTACTGACACGTGGTGAGCTCGGGTGCAGGAGTGGACTGTGGGGGTAGGTGCACCTGGGTGTAAGTGTAGATGTCGTTGTCGGTGCGTGTAGGTGCAGATAGAGTACAGGTGCCGACTGCAGGTGCAGGCACGGCTGCAGACAGAGGTGCAGGTGCAGACACGCACCCCCCCAAACTATGCAGCCCTGGGGCCCAGCGTGGGGCCTGGCCCGAGACCGACCTTCAGCCCGTGTGGTGCATAACTCGACCGCAAGGGCAGAGGCCCACGGTCCGGAGCATCACGCTGCCCGGGGAGCCCAGTGCCCACCTGAGCGGTGCGTGCTCCAGACCCCAGGTGGGTGCACGCTGGCTCACAGCCAACCCCGGGCCCCATCGGGCTGCAGCAGGTCCCTCCTTTGGAGCTCGCGGGGCACAGGGGACACTGCGCTGGCCCAGGGCTTCTGAGGTCTGAGCTGAATCTAGTCATCTGTCTGTCCCCGTGAGCAGGTGGTGAGGGCAGCCTGGCCCTGGGCAGGGCAAACTGACGGCCTTGCCCCCCCCCCAACGCCCGCAGCCGCCCGCCCTCCCTCCCTCCAGGCAGCTCGTGGTCCTGCTCACGGCACTTCCGGGGAAACGACCCGGATCTCACCCCGTCCCTGGTGGGAAGGCTCCTGCCCTCCCCGCCCACATGGCCCTCCCTGAGCAGACAGGCCAGGACACAGACGCCCGGGTTACCTGTCCACCTTCTCCAGGATCTCCGCGATCCTGGTCAGCGGCTGCCGCAGGCGCTGCCGCAGGTTGTGCTGCAGGAGAGGGAGGCACAGGTTCCACTGGGTGGTGCACACCACGTGGATGACCTGCGGGTCGCCCAGGCCGATGGCGCGCTGCAGCGCGACGTCCAGTCTCTGCACGATGCTCAGCTGGGTCTGCACGGGAGACAGGGGCCGGCGTGGGGGCGTGGGAGGTGCATGCGGGTCGCCTGCCTCTGGAAGAGCCCGAGCCCTGGTCGCCGGCAGGCCACACCCCTGGGCAGAGTGCCTGGGGCCCTGGAAGGGCTGCTCGCCTCAGAGACTCTCTGCCCACGCCCCTGGGCGGCCCTCCTGCAGCGGATTCCAGGCTGCGGGCCTCTGGGTCTCACACGTGTACTGGGGCTCACGCCCTTCGCGTGTGTTACCCGAAGACCACAGCCTGCCCGGCACACAGGACTGACTGGCTGTGGCATTTCAGGACCTGGACGACAGGCCCCCCCACTCCACCCTCGCCCAGGGCCCTCCGGGCTCCCCTCATGCTGCCCCTGAGCCGGAGGGGCCAGGCGAGCTTGGGATTCCCGACCCCGTACCCCCTGGCAGCCAGGGCACGTCTTTGAAGCTCAGGAGCCGAACAGCCAAGCCCCTGCCCCTTGCAGGGACCGCCCCACATCCCTGGGGCCCTCAGGTTTCCCGGCCAGAGAGGCTGATGGCCCCACACCAGGGCAGGGGGCGACCTCTGCCTTCCTGGACGGGAGTCAGGATGGGGACGTGAAAACCTTCACCAAGGGCCGGTGTTATCAGTGTGCGTGACAGGCGGGGCGGCAGGTCCACATGGGCCTCAGGAGGGCCAAGCCGGGGCAGACAGTCTCCCCCCAGCCCCCCAGCCGCCAGGCCCAGGGGCCCCCGGGAGCTGCCCTGGACCCTGACCGCCCTGCCAGGGAGGCTGCGTCACGCCCGGCACACAGGAGCCAGCAGCAGGGCCAGGCGGAGGCCGGCCCGGAGGTCCACCACGCTCCCGCCTCGCGGTCGCGGCCCGGCCCGGCCCGGCGTCCGAGAGGCTTCACCTCCACGGCCGCCCGGGCGTAGGTTTTCACTTTGCTCTCCAGCCTCAGCGCCTCCAGCTCGCACTCCAGGCACTCGGTCTCGATGAGCTTCCCGGGGTCCTGTGGGCGGAACCCGGAACGGAAATGTTTTCGGAACCGTCGGGCACGCCACCGCCTCCAAGGACCGTTTTAAGTGACAACCCCGCATGCCAGGCAGACACCCAGCGAACACCAGTCACAGCAGAAAAACACATTTAAAAACTGCACACGGTCCCAGAGCACGCAGGTGTGAGGAGACCGAAAAAAGGTTTTTGTCTTCTAAATAGAGCAGAGAACGCAGTTTGTGCCACGGACAGTGGGTTTTACAGGGGACCCTGTCCTGAGCTCTGGCAGACGGTCCTGGGCGACCTGCCCCTGCAGGTCAGGGTCCAGGCCCGAGGGAGGGGGCGAGGACGGGGAGGGGCGGTCCGGCAGCCCCCCTGTGGGCAGACCTGCTGCCGTGTTTCCCAAAGGGCAGCACCGCTGCCTGCCCTGCCCCCCCTGCACGTGAGTCCGTTTCCCCACCTGCCACGGTCTAACGGGGGTGTCGCTGTGGGGTGACTGCACAGAGGTCTCTGCCCGGCGCCCCCACAGGGCCCCTGACACCCAGTGCGCCCCAGGCGACTCCAGCTGGCGTCCCGGGTAGCTCCCGGAGGGGCCAGTGCCCGGGAGGAGCCGCCCGGGTCAGAGGCTGGTGCCTTTCGGTCTGGGCGGAGCTCCTCCGGGGGGAGGGCGGCTGGAGGAAACCCCGACAGCGGCCAGGCTGGCCAGCACGCACACGGGAGGCGGCGCCCAGACGGCCCCCGACAGCGCCGAGCTCCGCGCCCTCCCAGAGGCCCCCGCCCCCCCGCGGATGGTCCGCCTGGCTCTTCACCCGAGTCCTTCGTGATGCAGTGGACCTCGGAGGGGCCGTGGGAGCCCCCACCTGAGGCCTGGTCAGACAGAACCTGGGCAGCCCCCGGGCGGAGGGCGCGGATGCGCGTCTGAGCGGGGGCGGTCTCGCGGACCAGGAGTGACGCGTCCTGCGTGAAAGCAGAGGACGACACCCCTGGGGGGGGGGGGCCCTGGGCCGCCCGGCGCGGGCAGCGAGGATCGGAACTCCCGCCGGCCAGCGCCCGGGCTCTCCTGAGGTCGGTGCGTGTCCGTCAGCAGGCGGGTGGGAGCGGCTCGGGCCTTCCGCGCCGTCTCAGGCTGCTGGGTTTCCCGAGGTCTCGCGTGCTCCGGCCACGGGCCGTCAATCGGAGGGGGCCTTGAAACAGCCTTTCGGCATCGCGCTTGTGTTCCCGTCTTCCCCCCATTCCCGCTCCAAGGGCGGGGCTCCTCACCGCCACGGGGCCGAAGCCACCCGCTGCGACGAGCCCCCACCCGTGGACGAGCCCGTCCACGCCCTTCGCCCGCACGGCACTCAGCCCCGACACGGCGCCCGCGCGCCCGCCCGCCTGCCCGCCGGGCAGCGTGAGCGGCACCACGACCAGTGCCCACAGTCTCCGAGCGAGAACTGCCTAGTGCTGGGCCGTGAACTTGGGGGGGAACCCCACGTGCCATGAGGGCTGCGTTCGCTGCAGCCCTCTAGGTCCGGCGCCACAAACGCAGGGTTTAAACGCCCGGTGACGGGGTGGGGCGGGTGCCGCGCGACCGCGAACACTGTCACGTCCCAGGCGGCCCCGGCGCGCACTGTCCAAACGCCCCGCGGTGACTCGGGCCACGCCCCCGACGACGGGAGAAGGGAGGGGCGTGGCGTGCGCACTCACAGCGCCGCCTGGAGGACGCACGTGGAGAAGACGGGGACACGTGCCCCACCCCCCCCCCCCCACCCCCGGGGGCTCCAGGCCCCTCCCTCCCCTTCACGTCCGGCCGCAGCGGGCGCCAGCCAGGCACCCACGGTCCCTGGGCACTTACTTTGCCGGCCATATTCTTCAAGTCTGCGAGGCAGCTGGAGGAGACGTCCTCACTTTTCAAGGTCAGAGCAAGATGCGCCAGCTCAAAGAGCACAAGGGCTCTGAAACCAAACGCGAAGCAGCGCCGCGTCGGCAGGGGGCGCGGGGGAGAGGTCCGCGGGGCAGCGGGGGGCGGGGGGGACGGGAGGCGCGCTCGCCCTGGCAGGAAGTGGGACAGAGCAGAGAGCCCTGGCCGAGTGGCTCCTCCGCTGGCCAGAGCGCCGGCCCAGCACCCCAGGCTGTGGGTTCGATCCCTGGTCAGGGCGCAAGAATCAGCCAACGAATGCAGAGACAGGCGGAACAGCGAGCCCATGTCTGTCTGTCTCTCCCGTCCTCTCTCTCAAATCAATAAAGAAATTTTTTTTTTTTTTTAGGAAAGAACAGAACACAGTGGCTTCTCCTGCGCTAGCCACTGTCCCTTGCTGGCGGGGATGAGCACGCTGTCACGTGGGGAGGCCCGCTGGGCCAGAGCCACCGCGCCCGGAGCTGCACCTGCCCCCGAGGGCTCACAGACCCGGCGAGGCGACCGACCCTGCCCCCTGGCGGCAGACAACCCGGCCCCGCTGGGGCGCTCAGCGCTGCTGTGGCAAGCTCCCATGAGCTGGGAGGCCTGAAACCACGGGAGGTTAACCGCTCGGTTCTGGAGGCCGGGAGGCTGAGGTCGAGGGGCCGCGGGGTCGCGCCTCCTCTGAAGCTGCTGGGACGAAACGGAGGCCTCAGCAGAGACCCTGGCACCTCCCTTCTCTCCAGGCTTCCTTCCCGGGGTGAGTCCCCATGTCCCCTCTTTTGAAAGCAGAAGTCACCGGACCAGGACCCGGCCCGCTGTGACCTGACCTCCCCGGACCGCCTTCAGGTCCGCAAAGACCCATTTCCACGGGGCAGTGAGCGCTGGGACCCGACGCCATCTTTTGGGTAAATACTGTTCAGCCCACAACACCCCAAGTTAATGATCAAATGACAAGCTGAAAAAACATCCAGAACCACTGCTACAGGCAGAGGCCAAAAAGCCCCCCACGTCAGGAGCGCAGGGGAGCCGACAACCACCGGGAACCGAGAGGCCCAGCGCCTGAGTGGACGCCCAGACACCCCCGCGGGCTAAGCACTGCACCCCAGACGGCCAGAGACGCCCGGCAGAAGGCCCAGCGGTCACAGCAGCCAGTGGCCAGGCGTCGGTCCCCTGCCCCGTCCCTGCAGGTAACGCTGGAGGAAAGGACGAGCACAGGGCAGGGCGGACCCCGCGAGAGGGGACGCTCAGACAGCGGCCTCTGGCCCCACCTCCCGCTCCCGGGAGGTCACACCAGTGTCCCCCCGCACTCTGAGAGGCTCGGGGGAGTCAGACTCGGGGACAGAACTGGGCGTGCTGTGGGCGGGGACTCGGGGACGGGGGTGGGCATGTTCGTCCTCCACCTGCGGAGACGGCATGCGGCCGGCCGACAGGTGGGAGATCCTGTAAGAAAAAACACTGTGCTTTTCGGACCATAAGACGCACCTAGGTTTTAGAGGAAAAAAATTTGAAGTGAAAAATGTGGTAAAATATTTAATAACATGAATAACACCGTATGTCACCACTATAAGTGTAAACAGAACTCAACAGCAGCATTAACAACCATTATTCTCCCCAAATTGGGGCCGGGTGGGGGGCGGGGGGACGTGCATCTTATAGTCCGAAAAATAAGTCACTTCTGCTGGAGCTGAGTGTGACTTTCAAAAGCACGACGTGAAGTTACGTGCCCAGAGGGCTCCCCGCAGGGTGCCGACCTCGGCACAAGAGGGACTAGAGGGGATCCCCAAACCTCCACGTGGCGGGCATGAGGGGTGGGGGGCGCACGAGGGGGAGTTTTGGAGCTTTTCCTGCTTTTCCCTTCCTCCTGGAGTGACCGATTTTATGCTGGCCCCCTGCAGCTCCCCTGCAGCCCCCCAGCCCCGCACCCCCCCCCCGCAGCCGTGAAGCTGGGCAAACACAAACAAAACACTCACTTCTCCTCCGCGATCGCGGGGCCGCGCTGGGGGTTGTACTGGCCTAGTTGCTTATAGGCCCCCTTCAGCACCTTGTCGACGTCTTCAGGTAAATCGTTTTTATCCAGTTTTCTGCAGTGAATGCAAACAGTAAGTAACCAAACTGCTGTCAGTCCTCTTCAAATTACCCTTAAAATCTCTATGTCCATGGAGCTCTATTTCCCACTGGACAGAGGCCTAGAATGAACCGCCGAACCCTCTCACTCCTGGGCTCCCCCGGATGGCTCCCCCCGCCCCCTGTGCCTGGGCCCGGCTTCCTGCCCATGACCCCGAAAGGGGGCACACCCAGGACCCTGCGCACCAGCCCCTCTGCCAGGCCAGCCGCACACGCAGGGCCCGCCGGGCGGGGTGCCAGGCCCCAGGCGGCTTGCACCCCTGGGCAGGTCTCCTCCTACCCTCCCTCTGGCCCCTCCAGCGGGGTTCCATTCCCTGGCCAACTCTGCAGCCTCCCCTGGGGCAGGAGCCTGGCGCTGGGTGGGGGGGTCCTGCAGCCCCGCCCCTCGTGGACAGAGTGGGGCGCGAGGGAGCCTCCCGCCGTCCCGCAGGCACTCGCCCTTGCAGCTGGCTGATGAGGAACGTGACGGACAGGCCGACGGACGACTTCCTCTCCTCCTTCAGCTGCAGCTCGCTCACCAGGCCGTGCCGCACCTGCGGTGGGGGGGAACGGGACGGCGACTCGCGTCTGGGGGGACGGCCGGGCTGCGGTCCAGACTCGTGCGCAGCGACTGCTCAGCACACGCTCCCCCCGCCCCCCCGACAGCAACTGTGCGGTTAACCCGCGCCGCCGATCCTCAACCACGCTGTGCTTCGTGCTTAGCTTTCCCTGTGCAGCTCGCTCTGCGGCACACAGACTGTAGCGAACTGTATGCCGGGTCTCCGTGCTCGCTGCCACGGCAATGGCCTCCCCTTTACCAACACCCCGCCGCTTCCGAGTCGTGCGGTCCCAAGGTTCTCTGTTCTGCTCCGTCCGTGTCTGCAGGTGCGGGCCCCGCAGTGGCTTCTCTGCCGTTTCCCGAACAACGACCACAGGGGACAAGACACCCCCGGCCCCCGGGCTCGCCGGCCGACCTACCATGGCGGCAAACACCTGCCGGTACCGGTGCGGCGCGTGGGCCTTCACGAAGGGCGCGGCGGTGGCGCAGAACGCGGCGGCCTCCTCCCTCTTCCCGGCCTGCAGGTAGCACTCCAGGAGCTCCCTGGGCGGCGCGAGAGCAGAGACGGAGCCCCGGTGGGCGGCCCCGGTTCCCGCTGCGAGTGTCTCAGAAGCTCCCCTCCCGGTCTCCTGTCCCACGGACTCCTGCCCCCGGGCCCACGGGGGGCTCCGCAGGGACACGCGGGGCACTGGAGAGGGTCACGTCCCACCCGCAGACAACTCGCCCCAGACCACCCTCTGGCTGCGCCTACTCTGTGGGCGACTGCCCCCTTGGGGAGGGCCCGGGGTGGGGTGGGGGGTGGGGCGGCGCCAGGGCCGGGGGGGGGGGGCGGGGGGCACCTCCACTCACAGCATCAGCTCCGCCTGCCAGTCCTCATCCTCGTCCTGCGTCTGGTTCAACGCGCTCACGATTTGGGAGAGGCTGGGGATCAGGTGGTGGTGGTACCCTGGCTTCAGGAAGGGCCTCGCCATTTGCCAGTAGAGGACGGAGGCGTTGAAGACCAGGAAGTAATACCTGCGGCGTCCAGGAGGAGGCGTCTGCCAGGCGGCCAGCGGCACAGCCCGGGCCCCGCCCTCCCCTGGGAGGACTCCGTCTGCGGCGGAGGGCGGCAGCCCCCTCTGAGACGCAGGGCCCGCACTGCGAGAACGGAGGTGCATGGGCCTCCTGGGGGGGGCCTTCCGCTCAGCCCTGGCCCCGGCCCCCCGGCCACGGACTCCCGATGCTGGACCGGAGGCCTCCTCACTCATCCGGTTACTCCACACAGTGACCGGCTCCCCATGGAAACACACCACAGAGCAAGGCCTCCTGTGGCTCCCAAGGGATAGACAAGGAGAGGCAAGAGCAGGGGAAACCAAGAGAGGCTTCCTGGAGGAGGTGGAATCCTGCCAAGGCCTGAAAAGTGGCCGGGAGTCCGCCAGGAGGGCAGGTGGACGAGGGAGGGCAGGGCCTTCGGGAGCGGGCTCTGTGCCCCCACAGGAGACACAGGAGGCGGAGGCGGGGACACGGGGAGCCAACTGACGGCGACCAGCGGGGACGGGGGAGAGGTGCTGGGGGAAAGAAGGGGAAGGGACTAGTCAAAGAGCCTGCGTGAGTGCCGTGGACACGGACAGCGGTGTGGGGACTGACTGTGGGAGTGGGGCTGAGCTGGGCTGAGGAGAACCAAGGGGAGAAACTGGGACAAGTGTAATGCAATAACAATAAGAAAATTTTTTAAACAGGAAATGCGAAGTGTCGGGGTCAGGGCACCCCTAGGAAGCCAGGCCTGTTCCTGTGGGCTGCAGGGAGGCCAGGTCGGAATCCCAGGGGTGGATTCACTCTCCAGCAGCGGGCCCCTCGGGCCGGCTCCACCTTGCAGGGGCCTAGGGGCCTGGCGGTCTTCTCCGCCGGCCTTAGACGGCCGTCACCCAGGGAGGGCAGGGGTCCAGGGCACTGGCGGTGAGACGAGGCTGCTGGTTCCTTCACGGGTTCACTGAGAGGCCCGCTCCTTCTCTCCCTGGCTGCACCCAGGTCTATTGTAAAGGTGGCCCTGACAGCGCCCACGGCCCCTGGCCCCCCACCAGGCATTGTGCAGGTGCCCCCACACCCTGGTGTGCAGCAGTGACCAGGGTCGCCCCCCCCCCCCATGACGACACCCACGGGCCCCGCTTCACGGCTGCAGGGCATGGTTCAGTCACCCCTCAGAGGGAGGGCCAGGGGCTCCACCCCCGAACCCGGGACGGGGGGCCGGCCGCAGGGTGGGACGGTGCGAGAGAGAACCCAGGGTTTACACCGAGATCTCCTTTAACTGCCGAGTCCTGTCCAAAGAGGCTGTGTGCGGGCTGAGCCGTTTCGGGAACGTTTGTTTCTGATGAAGCAAGTGTCGACTGGGCAGAAGACGGTGCCGGAGTCTCAGCCCCGTCACCCCCACAAACAGGGGGCCTCGGCCCAGGAGGAGGCCGGGGAAGGACGGGCCAGTGGGGGCAGCACAGGGAGGAAGCGGAGACGCTGACCCCCGAGAGCCCAGGGGACGGTGAAAACAGGCGGACGGAGGAAGCTGGCAAAGGTCACCTGCAGGTCCCGGAAACCACTGCTCAGAGCAGGGGGGGCAGCCATGGGGACGGTCCCTGCTCTGCCTTACAGACCTGCGGGACCCTGAAGCGCATCAAAAACACAGAGCAGGAGCGACGCCTGCTGTCCAAGCAGAGAACCACGCAGTGGACTCCGGCCCAACCCTCTCACCCAGGCCCACTCGGGAAGGCCAGACCCACAGCCCACCTGGGTTCCCCTTTGGCGAAGCTGATGGCCTTCATGTACTGAGTCACACAATTTTCAAACTCCTCCTGAAACAGGAAGCACGCACAAGGAAATCCAGGCCGCCACAGACGTAGCAGCCGTGGCTCCTGCTTCTGCCGTGAACACCAGGCCCGCCGGAGCCGGCCCGGCAGCCCCGGGCCCAGTGGGAGCGGGACGGAAGGCCTCCACCCTGCACGCTCCCCCCAGCTCAGGGGCGGCTGGGGGGCCATGGCCATGACGCCAGGAGGCACAGGTCAAGTGTCCAACAGGATGCAAGTCGGACTCTAGGGCTCAAGGAGGAAACCGACAGGAAATTTAACTCCCGATAAAAAGCATTCTAAGATCTGTGCAGCCAGACACAATTTTGGAAGGAGGACAAAATACAGAATTTTGAGGAGCGTGGAGGCAGCCTCAGGGGTAAGCACAGGAGGGCAGACGCCTCCCCTTGGGTCGGTACTGGGTCGGTGCCGGAGAAGCCCCAGGGGCCACAGGAAGTGGGACAAAACCGCAGGAGGTGGCTCGGGGCCGCTCTCACCAGGTTGTCCGTGGACTTGGGGGCACACAGCTGGGCCCTGCACAGGTGCGCGCGGCCCAGGAACTGGGTGACCGGCCCCTTCACCTTGAAGTACATCTGGATGCAGTCCTCGCTCACCTCCGGCTGCCCCATCTGCGGGAGAACGCCGCCGGGTCGCTGTAAACACACCGCGCCCCCGACGCGCGGAGGACTGCGGGCCCAGCAGTGTCTCTTGGGGGCACCTCCCCAGCCCCCTCCCCCGCTGCTTCCGGCAGAGCCCCAGCCCGGGGTCCCCGGGAGCACGACCTTCAGGGCCTGCTCCGCGCACAGAACGAACAGGTCGGGGCTGAAGCTCTCGCTGGGGTCGAACTCGGACTTGCCCAGGTTAGCGGACTTGATCAGCTCGTAAGCCCTCCTTAGGGCGGCGGCATCTGTCGGGACGGCCGATGAGGACGGCCCGTGAGCACCGACCGCGGGGGCCGGTGCAGACGGCCCAACAGGGGCCCGAGTCAGGCTGGCCGCCCCAGGGCTGCTCCCTCCCGCGACCGGACGCTCCCACCAAGCCCCCCGCCCCAGGGGCGCGAAGGGCAGCCGCCCGCCTCCGGCCTCCGGCCCCCGCCCCAGCCCAACGCGCCGCGGATCGGGGGCGGTCTCGGCGCCCCGGCCCCGCGCACCCTGCTGGCTCTCAGCGCGGGTCAGCTCCTGTGTGATGACCGGGTCCATGGCGCCGCAGTCCGGCCTCTCGTCTCTCCCGCTCCGCGGCGGTTGCCTAGCGACAGGGGACGCGGACGGGCCCTACGGGTCGGCAGCCGAGCCACACTCGGCCGAAAGCGAAGTCCCTGTAGCCCGCCCCCCGCGCGCGGTTTCTGCAGATCCGCGAAGGCGGCCGGCTCCCCGGAGCCTTGGCAGGGACAGCCGGCGGCTCTGACGGGAGAGGCGACGAAGCGCTGACCTGGCATCGGCCTCACTCTCACACCGGGACAGCTCTTCGGGAATCAGCAGGTCAAACAGAAAACAAAAGGGGACCAAGCAATGCCCAGAGAAGGCAGGTAACCACAAAAATTCTTGGCCTGAGAATGGGTACGCGGGACCCAAAGCTCAGAGACCGTGAAAGAAAGACTGATGGCAACCCCTAAAAACTCTGGCTGGCCCGGGACCGGGGCTGGCCTCCGCCGCCACCCCTCCCCCGCCCCCGCAGACCTGCGGGAGACGCCCCCGCTGGCGGAGCGCGGGTCGGGGGCAGAGGGCGCCAGCTGCGCTCCGTGTGACACACAATCTCCCGATAAGGGAACCGCGGGCCCTATGCACTGGCTCGCACCCTTCATCTGCGCAAGTGGGAAGAGACAAAGGTTTGACGGACACTGGTTGGGGGGAGAAAGGAGGGACGGGAAGTCACGTGCTGGGGGGGTGGAGACCAGCCTGGAGCCACCCGGAGGCAGAGCCACCTGGAAACATCTGGGGAGGATCCCGGTGCACACTCCCTGGGGCCCAGAGTCCACCCACAGCCTGCATGGGGCTCAGTCTCCTCCCACCTGCCCCCCCTCTGCCAGGATGAGGACCCCAGCAGCAGCTCCGGGGGCGTGGTCAGGCGGGCCGTCCAGGTGGGGTCCAGGAACTGCCGGCGGAGGACATGAGGGGAGACTGACCTCTCAGGGGACGCACTGACCTCGCTCAATAACTGCAGGACCCTAACACGGTTCTGAGAGCCTGCGGCCAGCGCCAGGGCACCCTCCCCGGGCCGGCTCAGGAGCAGACGTGTGAAGAGAAACACGTCGTGAGCTGTGGGAAGTAAAGGACAAGGGACAGAGGAAGGGCAGGGCTGGGGCCGGGCTGGGCCCGCCGGCCGGAGGGTACAGAACGGAGCGGGCGCCCGCAGCGAAGGCTGAAGGCCGGGGCCTGGTCACTTGCTGCCGCCCCAGGAGGCCAGGCTGACTCCCTCCAGCCCACCGGCAGGGCACAGACCCCACGGGTCACTGCGGGTGGGGGCGGAGCGCAGGCTGTGCTGAAGCCCGAGGTTCGACCCTGCTCCGTTAACTCCTCGCTGTCAGATGCGGGCCAGGAACCCCGCAGAGCCTGAGTCTGTCCGTCCGTCCGTCCGTCCGTGGCAAGTCAGGGGCCCGCCCAGGTCTGGGGGGGCTGCGGCAGACCCCCTGCTGAGTGGGGAGCCCAGGCTGGTGCATGATGGTGCTGGGGAGTGCCGGGGGGGCGGCTGTAGGGTACTTCAGTGCCCAGACCTCTGCCTTGGCCAGCTCGGCTCTGCCACCGAGGGCCCTGACCGCAGAGGGGCAGGCTGGTCTGCGGAGACCGTCCGTCTGTGCGTTTGGGGGGAACCGCCTCCTGGTGCCCTGACGCTCTGCCCCCCGAGGCACCGACGGGTATTTTTAGCCACCCGTTCAGCAGGCCGCCCGCCCCCCCCGCCACCGGCAAACGCACTTCCTGTTAGTCTCTCCCCGCCGACTCCGCAGGCAGCTGGCTGCTAAACCCGAGAGCAGCCGGCTCCGAAGGGCTGCACGGCGGCTGGCTGGAAATAGAAACCGTCACTGCCGGCCCGTCCACGTTGGCAACCACACCGGGCTGTCGGCCGGGACCCCGCCGGCCTGGCACCCAAGTGCCGACCTGGCACCCAAGTGCCGACCCCGCTCTGCTGAGCGCTGCCCCGCCCTGCAGGTGCCCTCGGTCCTGGGGCGCCCCACACAGTCCCAGAGGGAGGGGTGCCTTCTGTGCCCCGATGTCCCGGCAGCGTGCGGCCTTTGGTGGGTGCCACGGGGCCCTGCGGGGTCTGAGTCCTGCCGGTGAGCCCCAGTGTGGGGACAGGGCGCCCCCCCCCCCCGCTCCTGGTCTCCAGAGTCCTGCACACCAGGCCCGTGGGTGCCCAGGGATCCTGTCCTTCCTTGGGGCAATGCTGTGACTCCCCGGCTGTCCTGGAGCTGCTGCCCTGGCTGGTGGCTGGAGTAGGGCACCCTGGGGGCAGCCATGCCAGGGGTGGGCATCCTGGGGGGTCCAGGCTGCAGCGCAGACCCGCACGAGGAGGCCAAGGGGGTCGAGAAGGGAGGAGACGGTCAAGCTAGCCAACGCCCTGGGCCAGAGCCCTGAGCCCCTAAATCCAGCCCTGTCCCCGAAACCGGGGGGCAGTCAGCCTCAGACTGAGCGTGCAGTGAGCCAAGCGTCTCTGTGCCTGGTGGTCTCCGCCGTGGTGACGAGGGTCCAGAGGCCGGGAAAGGCCAGCCTGAGGCTCCGCAGCACCATTTGCCTCCAGATCTGAGGGTTCCGTGGTCACGAATTCAACTGAGGAGTGAAAATACACTTTTTTAAAAAAAATTCGGCCCTAGCTGGTGTGGCTTAGGGGTTGAGTGCTGACCTGTGAATCAAAGAGTCACCAGTTTGATTCCCGGTCAGGGCACAGGCCTGGGTTGCGGGCCAGGTCCCCAGTAGGAGGCGCACGAGAGGCGACCACACACTGATGTTTCTCTCCCTCTCTTTCTCCCTCCCTTCCCCTCTCTCTGAAAATAAATGACAGCTTTAAAAAAATCCGGAGTTGACCCCTGAACAACACAGTATAACAACTATTCCCCTGGCGTCAGGGGTCATCTAGGGGTTAGAGGTGATTCTTCGTGGGTGGGAGGGAGTGTGCAGGCCCCATGCAAAGCCGACACCGTGCACCTGAGCCTCTGTGGGTTTGGGGGTCCTCGGGGGCTGGGGCCAGTCCACGCAGAGACTGAGGGGCGGCCACAATCCCAGAAGAAGCAGCCACTTGCGTGCCGATCGGTGCCCGTGCACGAGGGGCCCTGGGGCCGAGAGAGCGTTGTTGCCCAGACAGGTCAGGTGCCTCTGGCCAGCAGCCTGGTCCTTCGGTCCCACTGGACAGCTGGCCCACTCGGAGCAGGGACCCTGGGGGCCCTGGTGGCACTCTGCTCTTCAGAGGCTGGGACCAGGGTCCTGCGGGGCTCCGTGCACGGACCCCCTGAATGAGCAGCACTGGCTCCAGCCTGAGCATCCCCTCGGGGCCCCTGGAGGCCGCTCGCCGTCTGGAGAGAGCTGCCGCTTCCGCGAGGGAGGGAGGGAGGGAGGGAGCGTTTGGGTTGTGCGACTCCTCTCAGCATCTGGCCTCCCCTGCTCCTGGGGGCCTGAGGCTCCCCCATGACCCTCCTGGCAGCTCAGCCCCCCTCTCGCCTGGCCAGGCTGCGGCAGCTGCCCTGCCGGCCCTCGAGGGGGCTGCCGGAGGCTGGGGCGAGAGCTCTGCCCACAGCTCCCCGCCCGTCCTGGCTCCCAGCAGCACAGAGCTCCGCACGCCCTGTGTCCCCGCTCTGTCTCCCATCCCCCTCCCCCACAGTGCCCCCCCGAGACACCTTCCCGGTAAACTCGAGTTGGACCCTCGTCTCAGCCTGCAGCTGGGGCAGGCCCACAACAGAGCCAAGCCCCCTCTGGCGGCAGGTGCTGACCTTGGGGCTGAGCCAGCCCAGTGCCCAGGGGCCTCAGTGCCAAGGTCCGGGTCGGCCTGGTGGGGGCGGCCACACCCCACCCACCCGATGAGGCAGCCGAGCGGGTGAGCAGGGGAGGGGGCAGAACGGGGCCTCTGGGGACTGGGCCGTGCGCCCACTCAGCCCGGATGGGCCACCAGCCTGGCTCCCAGACTCTGCTCCGAGTCCCTCAGAGAGAATGTGCCCCCCGCCCTCCAGGCTGCTGGGACAGCGGCCCTCCTGCAGCCGAGCCGAAGCTGCCGCCACCGCCACCGCCACAGGCCAGCCCCGAGGTCCTGGGCCCGTGCACGAAGCGCCGCAGGCGGTCCTCTGGAAGGAAGGGTGTGCGTGAGTCCAGACCGGCTTGCTCAGGCCTCGGGGTCTGTGGGTCTGTGGGCGGCAGCAGGCCGGGACGTCTGTCTGCAGCCACCAAGCCGAGCAGACCGGGTGGGCAGGGGTGAGGGGCCGTGGGGTCGCCACGCTGTGGCAGCCGGAAGGAGCCGCCACCACGCCCGAGGCCAGCCTGTGTCCTGGGAGTCGGGGGCTGCTCTGACTGAGGGCGGCGGTGCAGCTGCTCCCAGGGGCTGGGGCCGGAACCGGGGCAGAGGGCGCGGGAGGCAGGCGGAGTCCCAGCGTCTGTGTCCCCGGAGCCCCGGGGGGGGGCGGCCTGTGCTGGCGTGGGAGGCCTCCCTCCGTCCCGGGAGGGTGTGAATGTGAGTGTACACTGTGTGCGCGTGTGCACGGGCATGCGTGACAGCATGCATGTGTGGGAGTGAGCGTGTGTGTGAGTGCATGTGACAAACGTCTCTGCCTGTGCCCCTAGTATGCACCCAAATCCCCTCCCGAGGGACGCCCATGCCCCCTGCCCGCTTGGGCGGCAGCTGGAACAGATTGCCGCTGAACTGACCAGCGTCTTCCGGGGGCGGAGCCCGAGTCCCGGGAGGTGTGGTCCTGGGCACGCGCGTCTCCCTTCAGTGAACCACGACGGGAGAGGAACCGCTGCCTCGTCCGTTGCAAACAAACGACCCCCGGCCCTCGGAGAAGACGGCCGCCCACCACCGCGCGCCCCCTGGTGGCCTTGTTAGCGCAGCGCAAGGAGCCTCCTGTCACCTGCTGATGAAAAATTAAGCAGTCCTTTGCCGTTTCATTATTTATTTGGCTTTCGACTTATTTTTCTTTTGGCAAGGAGCTTCTGATCTTTTCCGAGGGGAGAAATGGGGACGAGAGTGACAGCCCTCGTCTGAGTTACCGACATTAAAACTTAAA